CCCAACTAGGAAAGTGAAAGATATATCCTTTAAAGATGATAAAAGGTAATTTTATCATTATGAAAAAGAAACACTGGAAAGTGTTCCAAGACTTGGGAAAACCACCTTTATAGCTTCATTGTGTGAAAGAAGAGACATTCAGGACTGATGACAGGATTGTTGAAATAGGATACTTTTTGGCTCTGCTAGAATAGTAGATAGACCTAAGGAGATGGGGCTAAAAAAAAAAAAAAAGTCGAGTTTAATCCTGCAAAGTTTGAAGAAAAATAGATACATATTCACAGCATGTCTTACTTCAAATAACATCTGTACGGATGTGCTATTCATTCAGTGCAATGATTATAGTAAGCCTTGGTTTCTGTATGCTGAATATGAAAAAGGAGAGTTCTGATCTCTGTTTCTCTCAAGCCTATTATGCCATTCCTTTACGGCAACTTTTCCAGCCTTAATAAAGCCGCTGGCAAGCTGCCCTTCTGTGCTGATTAGCTTGGCTTGGGTGGTTCCATCTCTTTCCCTTCACTACTAATTTATTCACCATCCCCCCACCCCCTAGTTTTGCCCTAAACCTCAAAAGTCTCCCTGGCACCATTTCACAGACTCTGCGGTAAGCCTTAGAGACGCAATGCCATGTTTGAAGACTGATACAGTTTTCCCTAGTGAATGCTTGCTGTCATACTATGAGAACAGAATTCCATCCTCCCAGTAATTGACCACAGAGAAAATAGAAAACCTGATGGCAGTTTGGACATCTTTGCTAAGGTAAAGTGGTTTCCCCCTTAGTTTCACAATATTCATAGCACACAATGCACTCTTCCTTTCTTTGCCTGTTGCTTATTGTTCAGAACAGTGGTTTAGATTCCTTTATGATGATGTGGCCTGCAATAAATCATGGACTACTGACTTCCATGTGTTCTTGGTCACCAGAGATGGAGCAAAAAGGAACCTCTTCTAGCTAGATAGTAGGGCTTAAGGCTTCTTCCCTGTTCCATGGAGTATATTTGTTTAACCTATTCATTCTAGTCAAAGTAATAATTTTCCTGGTTTTGTGGACCAGGAAAGATGAGTCCTCTGAATCTGGCCATATCAGCGGGAGGCAGCAGCTTAGAGGCTTTGAGAACAATCTAAGAAATGGAGAAAGAATCCAGTGAGACCTGCAGAGGTGGTAGAGCTTGGGAGAAGTGAGGGGCAGCACTGGCTTTGAGCCCGTCCATAATGTAGCAGAGCTGAAGTCCATTCAGAAACCCTCCCTCCTCAATAGACTAGGCATGCAGTGCCAACTGCTGGGGTTCTCTGGCACTGTGAAAGAACACCCTTCCCAAGAGGAAGGAATGCTGGGAGACAGCCTGGAAAGCAGGTTCTCACAGTCACAAGCAAACAACCCAAGGCCAAATCAACCTGTTATCCTAACAAAGAACAAATAGAAATGATTGATTTTTGCTCCATTCCCACCCTCCAATCTAGCTGTTATGTGGGACGAAAAGACACAAGAATGTGAAGCTTGATTTTAATTTAAACAGGTTTGCATTTCAAATTCTTTCATAATGGTCTCATTCACTCTGCTGCAATCAATCTACTCATCAGAAGTCCCTTGAAGTTTGATGGAGCTGATTAGGGGTCAGTCACTGTCAAAGACTAAAACATGGAGACTTAAACATATGAAGAAGGGCTGCAGGATTTCGGTTTGTCTAGAGAAAAAAAGGACTAGGGGTGACGTGATAGCAGTATTCTGGTATTTGAGAGGTTGCCCCAAAGAGGAGGGGGTCAACTTATTTTCCAAAGCACCAGGGGGCAGGACAAGAAACAAAGGATAGAAACTAATCAAGGAGAGAAGCAACCTGGAATTAAGGAGAAAGTTCCTAACAGTGAGGACAATTAACCAGTGGAATGGCTTGTCTTCAGATGTTGTGCGTGCTTCATCACTGGAGGTTCTTAAAAAGAGACTGGACAATCACTTGTCTGATATGGTATAGGGTCTGCTGCTTGAGCAGGGGGGTGAACTAGAAGACCTCCAAGCTCTATTCTAATTGAAAGCAGGCAGAGGACACAGGAAAAGGTAGTAAGATTGTTAGTTCCCAGAATCCTTCTCTCCCCATGACAGGTGAGACATTTTACGATTGTATGATTTGGGAGCACAAGAATGCTTCAGAAATTGAAGGGGATGAGGTACAGATTTATCCACAACCCAGTGGTTACTTTGGACGCCCAGTGACATTATCTGAAGTTGTGAAAGTTGTGAAGGTTGTGAAAGACATCCAAGAAGTCCTAGCCCTTGCATTTCCAGGGTTTAGGGAAAAACAAATCTAGTTTTGTTCTTATGTGTACAAGGAACAAGTTACATGGCCTTTTCTGCCAGTCCTTACTAGTTAGTAAACGAGCACCAACGTCCATCCGTTCTTTAGAAGCCAGTATTCTTTTCTCAAATATGATGTTTCCTGACACCTACAGTGTTACACACAACATAACTTCACATGTTAAAGATTGAACAATATATCATTGAAAAATACGTGTTCTTTCAGCTTTTCCAAATTGTTGAATGTACATTAATGCAAAGGCACATTCTAAAATGCCTATTAAGCATACATAAGGTCAGTAGTGTGTGAAACTTTCTAGCACTGCAGAATTCCTGCCCCCCCCCCAGGCTTAATGCTAAACCAAGTACAAGACTGGAGAAGAGAAAAAGGGGTGGGGTCAGGGTAGCTGATTTTTAAAGCCACAGCATCTGTATTTGATTAAACTTTTAAGATGGAATGTGCAGCTATGGAATAGCAAGTCTTTTGATGAGATAGTCATGTCTAGGACACTGCTTTAAAGGGACACCTCAAATTAACATCAGGAGTTTTTCTCAGAATATTCATTTGCCTATGGAAGTCAGGATTTTTATCTGCCTACAAAGGAAAAATCAAGAGGAAATGATGTATCATTCCCCTTCCAATTATGAGTCAGCAAGTGAAAATGGAATAGAATTAAAAGCAGACCTCAACTTTGAAACCACAAATTCTTTAGTAGATAGGAGCAGGCTGTTTATGGACACTGTTGTAGAGCAAATGCCAATCAGGGTTGTTTTAGGGTTTCCAAATGAAACATGCTGATTAAAAATTCCAAGTGATATTATGAACAAGTATTAAATCTGTGGTGATTGAAAAGGAAGGTTTACGAATGCAAGGCTGTTTTTTGAGGCCTGCACCCCTGCCAGAATAAAATTGATGTTATAGCCATCAGGGAGTTTCTATTCTAGGCACAAAACTAATCACCTCAAGTTAAGCAGAGACCCCTCCCCCCTCACTTTTGGGTGTTGAATTGCAGCTGTAATCTGAAGTAAATTTATACGGAAATAAGTCCTACTAAACCACATATGATTTATTCAAGAACAAAAATGTTTAGGACTCATATGTATAGAATGCAAGTATGGGACACACGCACATATATTCCAAGATGTCAGTATGGTTGAAGCTTTTAAAAGTATGTTAAAAATGCATTCTTGATCGCAGAAAAACAAATCTTGGTAAAACTTTGTTGCTGCTGAAGGATTACCTGTTCTAAACATTTGTTCCTCTCTCTTTCATCAGTTTGAGTCTAGTACAGGGGTCTTCAAACTTGGCCCTTTTATGACTTGTGGACTTCAACTCCCAGAATTCCTCAGCCAGGCATGCTAGCTGAGGAATTCTGGGAGTTGAAGTCCACAAGTCATAAAAGGGCCAAGTTTGAAGGCCCCTGGTCTAGTATAGCATCTAACAAAGGAAGGGCATTTCACAGACTATTCTAGCACCCCCAAATCATGACAAAAGAAATAATGGCTGGGTAATTTGGGGCACAGTGCAATTTATTGTGTTCATTTTATTAATTGTCCACAAAATTGGAAAAGAGGCTAAAAAAAATCAGTTTTCCTGCTGAATATACCACCTCATTACTCAAACCAACCTCTGTAACCTTTAGAGAACAAAATAATGAGAAAAATAATGCATTCCACTTGTCAAAAAAAAAAAAAAAGGGTGTGTGTGTGTGCAGTGTCTGTCTGACCCTGACCATATGCCAACTCCTATGGGTGAGGATGGCAACACTGAAAAGGGAGTGCTTTCAGCTTGATGGCCTATTCCTAACAGCAACAGTATTTTTGCATTATCTAAGAAGGAATCCAAACAGATTGCTGGGTCAGATGAGAGAGAGAGAGAGATGTGTGTATAAAAGGATACTGTACACCACAGTTATTCACAGCATTTAAAGAAAAACTGAAAATTTGATATGAATAAATATTCATGACTCTATGCATAGGAATGAAGTCTTTAGGACAGAAAATGAGCAGAAGTTATGAACCTGCATTTCTGAATTTGGTTAAATAAAAGGTGTTATAAAATCTCCCTTTATGACCTAGGGGAGTTACTTCAACTGAAAAGGTTTTCCATTCCCAGTTCTTGAAATCCAGTATTTATATGACTGTTCTTCAAAACCTCAGACCTACCTGAATGTCAGGAAACACCCCTGCCTCTATTGAGTTAGTACAAAACTCCATGTCACAATATATTAATCTTAAAAGATACACCAACATAGTTGCTTTTTCTGAAACATCATCTTTTTCCTCCGGGAAGTCTACTGGAGGTTCTGCTATTCAGTATGTTAAATGACCAAGTAAGCATACATTTTAATATTGGACTATTTGTTGGAATAGATACCAGCACCTGTGGTTCAGCACTAGTGTTAGAAGGAAGCAAAAAAAAAAAAAAGTCATTGTCATTTTTGTTTTCTTTTTACACTATTTGAAAAAAAAAATGTAAAATACCTGCTAAGAGCCCCCTGCATCCATCTTTTGTGAAGACAAAAACTGAGTAGAGAGGCAGCTAAATTCATTCTGTGGTTTTCACCTATGCTTAAAAATCATTTCCAACACATAGGAATTGCAAAGTAGGGTTAGCTGCTACTTTTTAAGGGGAAAAGGGATATTTTTATTATAAAAACCATGTATGAGAAAGGGACATGCTTTGAAAAGAAATAAGAGAGGGGAAGTAAAATGTTCATCCTTCTATTTTAATGGCAAAACTCAACAAAACATTTAAACTGTCAAAGAGAAAGTCAGAAGCACAAGCTTCCAATGTAGTTACATTAAAAAACAAAACAAAAAACCAAACCAAAACAGTCAAACCAAAAGTGTCCTACCAGTCTGAATCTAGGAAATGGGAATCAGGTATTGCACAGGGGGAAAAACACTCTCAAACACACTCCTTCCCCCTTGGAGTAGAACCAGTCAAGGTTTGAATTGCACAGCAACTCAGCTTAGGACACACACATGCACAAACAAACATTTAGAGATGAGGAAACAGTGTGCTTTTGAACTACCTGTACAAAGTTTAAGAAGACATATAAAAGGGAGGAAGAGAAGCTAGCAGGCCTATAGGGCTATAAAACAGCTTGTATGTAGAGGAATGTTTAAAATTTTAAAAATCCAGAGCATGAGTCCTCCTAGTTTAGAGCAAAGCGTGGGGCATTCTCTTCTGTTGACCTACAACAGCCATCGTCATGCAGGATGGGAAGTTGCCATCATTGGCATGTCAGTTGGTTGTACAAGGCCAAAGACCTAGCTGATCCAACCAGTTAGGCTTGATATGGTGCAGCTGTGAGTCAGCACCACCCTCAGATGCCCAAATGTTTCAGCTGTTCTCTGGAGAGGAAAGAAGGGGCAATGTCAAAGAGATGACAGTGCTTCTGATCTAGAACAATTCACATCTTGCCTGGGACCTGTGCTCAGAATGCAGTCTGCTTTGGGGTATTATCCTTTGCTTAGTGCCACATTTAAAGGACAGGGACCTAACTAGATGGAAAAAGCAAGCTCCCAGAGCAGGATCAAATGGACACTTGGCCATCTTTTCAAGTCTCAGGTGCTATCAGAGATATTTAGTATCTCAATCTTAAAAGCATTAGATACAGAAAGCAGGCAAGCTCAGCCTTGGAGGAGGACAAGCTTCCAGACAGATATAAGATATTCTTACATATCTGAGTGGTATGTAAAAAATAAATTCTTGACTCTAATCTCGTTGAGCCCCCTAGAACTCAGAGAATCACACCTTTAAAGTCTACTCTTTCTAAATTCAAACTCTTGCATCTATGGAAGATAATCCCTGGTAAGTTTTACATGCAGATTTCACCAGCAGCTTGCTTCTCCTGCTCTTTAAGATGCCCCTATTTATTTAAACTTTCTTCTATGGGTCCTTAAATTAGTGATCCAGTGTCCTCAGTCCACAGAAAGCTACCTATTTTACAACAGTTTGAGAACAGAACCCATAGCCTCAATGAGATTTAAGAATTCTTGCCCACACTGGAGAAATAAATTATTAAAAATCTTTGTTCCAGTTTCAGTCCACTCTTCTTGACCAATTAGAGCTCTCAAATTATTTAATCTCAACTGTTCAGGTAGAGCAGCATGATTATATGTTTGTAAACTCAACTGCATGACAGCTCAATTTCATATAGTCCCTGCTTTATCAAATCTGTTGGGTATCAATTCAATCTATATGCAGGTTGACTATGTGTCACATTCTCTGAACATTAAGTGTCGGGAGGTTTTGGATTGCTTTGTTTTAGAAACCCCCCAAAAAGAGACAGGTAGTGATGGGAGACTTGGGCAAACAAAACATCTTAGGATGATAACTAGGATCTGCTTGCAATCGTGCCCTTAGGACTTGCACATTTTTAAGTCTGTGCACCAAAATATTATAAATTGATGTGGGTATCCTGTTCCTGTGCATGAGTCTAAGAACCAATTGCAGGGACCATTCTTATTTAGGCAAGGAATTAGATGGCTGTACAGGAACTTTTCCATTCGTTACTACTACTGTCAGTACAAGTCCCTGGATCAAAGTGTGCCATTAACGCTAGTTCACAGGAATAGTTCCCTTTATATTGATGTATTTCCTAGTTACTCCTATCTCCTTAAAACGAAAAGGTAATTTCCATATTGATAACGCTTTATCCTTAAGTATGACAAGTACAATGGCCTTTTTAGATGAGATTTCTCTCCTCTCTTTTCAGCAAACTTCAAACTTTCCAAACATATTTTGAATACGCTTACAACTGGCTACTTCCTAAATCAGTGAATGTAAAAAGCAGAAAAAAGGTAATATATGAGCATAGAAAGAGGGGAAAAAAAGAAACCTGGAGAGGAGGCACACTTTGCTCAAAACATTTAGTGCGGCAGTCTCAAAACTCAGCTTGCAGCAGCTTAAATTGGAGGGAGGGGGATTTGACCTGGTGTTCCCTGTTTTTACAAGATATATAAACATCCTTTACAGCAGGGGACTTGCAATACAGGGTCAACATAGTAAAGGGAATAAAAGAAAGGGAGGAAGAGGGATATATTGTGCTGAGAGGATGCAAACCAAGCCCATAGCTTGCTTTGGATACTTGGATTGCTTGCCAATGTGACTGTCACCCAGAGTTTACACAAGTAATTGAATTCAGTGCCTGAATAACAAGAAAGGACTATAGTAAATAAACAGGGGTCTTTTCTGCATGCCTTCTCAAAAATTGTGCTAGCAAATTTCCAGTATAGAATATACCAAGACCATGGGCATTGCTACCGTTGAAACTACTGAGAATGACAATACCCACTGCTGGGAATCAGCAGAATCGGTGGGATGAAGCTTCAGAAGATCTAAAAGGGTTGCAGACACTGCCTTTAGGGAGATGACACAAGGTTGCATAAGGGTGGCGTGGGGAGAGGGGGCAGATATCTGAACTGGAGCTCCACCAATAGCTAGAAGGGAGTATTTTTCCTGCTTTGAGAGCAGCAGCAACGAGGGTCAAGAAAACTTGGAAGCAGACAGGAATGAAATATCAGGCAGCAGTATCCATCCATGGACTGTGGTGGTTGGTGGGGGATGTGGCAGTCAGCATTGTTCAACACCCACTACATGAATAAATAACAGCACCGTGGCCAAGCCCAGACAAAAAGCTCTGGATCCTCTCTGTGATGGACCTTCAAGAAAAGGCTAGCCAGATTCCCGTGCTGCTCGGTTTCTGCCCCCAGGAAAGGATGACGGCATGCCAAGTGCTACACGGCGGTTTCCTGATCCTCCCGCTGGATCATCTGATAGTGCTGTCGATTTTCGAGGTAGGCAGCCAGGTCGGGATCATTTGCCTTCTCAGCTCTGTGCTTGGGTGTGTCTCCCTGTGAGAAGATGACACAAAAGGGGAGACTGTTCGATTACCACAGAATTTCATTCTCCTCTTCATTTTGAACTCCTCAACTCTGCTGCGATCCATTAGATGTTTGGCAAATCTTAATGGTTGGCAATCTGAAGGGTTAATAGTCTCACTTAGGATTTTAAAACAAATTAATTTGGGTATGTATGTGGAAAACATATTCTAAAAAAAATCATAGATTTGTAAATCATACTTACATAGCTATAGGCATCACATCACTTATAAAAGTGTCCAAGGAATTTGTAATTTAATTATGATTTCGAGCTCCATTTCACTCCACAGGCAGAAATGTCAGATCATTTGGCTGCTGCTATGTCTTGCTTTGTCTCATAAACGAACAAGTAGATAAGTGCACACACACACACACACACACACACACACACACACATTATGTTTGTACATGGGGCAAGTCTTTGGAGCAAGAGACAAATGAATGCATAAAATGCATATTTCTCTCCCTTTTTGTATTACTGATGTACACATACAATAACAAAAAATAATAATGCCTCTGTGGCCTTCCATATCAACCTTGAACTCTGTGAACTGTGCAGATTATTTCCCACAAATAAGGATGTCTATATTAGACACACCTACTGGTTATCCTAAGAAATCTGTATTCACATGCAGCCCTGAAAAGAAAAGGGCCCCAAATGTAGGGCTGTAGCTACATACACAGATTCCAGTCTTGCCTCAAGAGATGTGGGGAAAAGCCGTAAGACTGGAAGAGCCTGCCTGGATGGGAAGCTTTGGGGTTTCTGGAAGATTAGCAACTGACAGCTAAATAACTCCTCAAGGGCCTGTTTGTATACCCACCCCATTCCTCTTACTGGATATTTGGGGGGGGGGGGTTAAGGCTGTGTTTCCATATCCTCCCACTCCAAGAGTATAAACAGGGAAAGTGATAAGTTTTGATATAAGCTTGTCTTTCTTGACTTCATAGTTTGTCTACTCCTTCTGAGAAAGTAAAAAGGAGCGTGGGGGTGCTGGCTGGGTGAGGTATATGCCTGGGGAGGGCCCTGAAGTATCATCTTCACAGCCTTACTAGTTCTCCTGATCCCCAAGGAAGCTCATATTTCACAAACGTACTGCAGCCATCTGGACTGTGTCCGTTAATGAACTCCTGCACTCCATAAAAACTAAATCTGTTAACAGTTTTCAGCCGTGACTCCCCTTTCTTCCCCCACAGCACAAACTCTCCCTCCCTCTCATTCACAACCCCCACACTTCGCCAGCATTGAACAAACAGGCTGCTGAGAAAGGCCAAGGAAAATTGGCTAGCTGCCGCCTGTACTGAAAGTCTCCCACTGTGGCCCTCACCTCCTAGCAGAAAGCAAGCAATAGAGGAAGGAAGGAAGGAAGGAAGGAAGGAAGGAAGGAAGGAATCCTTCAGAAATAATGGCTAATTGTATCTCAGTGGAGTATACAGGAGTACAGACATGAGGGCCTCCTTTACAAGCAGCCAGATTATCTATCTATCTATCTATCTATCTATCTATCTATCTATCTATCTATCTATCTATCTATCTATCTATCTATCTATCTATCTATCTATCTGAGCCGAGGTGGCGCAGCAGTTAGAGTGCAGTACTGCAGGCCACTTTAGCTGACTGTGTTCAGCAGGTCAGCGGTTCAAATCTCACCGGCTCAAGGTTGACTCAGCCTTCCATCCTTCCGGGGTAGGTAAAATGAGGACCCAGATTGTTGGGGGCAATGTAAATATATATATACATTGCTTACTGGTGTACACCGCTTAGAGAGTGCTTGCACTTAAAACGGTATATAAGTCTAATATCTATCTATCTATCTATCTATCTATCTATCTATCTATCTATCTATCTATCTATCTATCTATCTATCTATCTATCTATCTATCTATCCAGACAGACAAGTTCTTAGCTTCACTTCCATCCCCTTATTTACAGAATAAGAGCTGGAAGAGACCTTGGAGATCTTCTACTCCAACTCCCAGCTCAAGCAGGAGACACTATACCATTCCAGAAAAACGGCTGTCCAATTTCTTCTTACAAACTTCCAGAGTACCTGCAGCTTCTGGAGGCAAGTCGTTCCACTGATTAATTGTTCTGACTGTCAAGAAATTACTCCCTATTTCTAGGTTGCTTCTCTCCTTGCTTAGTTTCCATCCATTGCTACTTGTCCTGCCTTTTAGGTGCTTTGGAGAATAGCTTGACTCCCTCTTCTTTGTGGCAGCCCCTGAGATATTGGAAGACTGCTATCATGCTCCCCCCCCCCTGTCCTTCACTTCATAAGAAATAGACATATCCAGTTTCTGCAAATTCCTATTACGGTCATTTTTCAAATGAAGGACAAAGCTAGAAGCAAAGCACATGCATGAAGCCACATACAATTTCCACACACAGGTACAACCCAGAGATTGCTCCTTCACAATCTCATCATTAGCATCTTTAATCACTAAAAAGTTCATTCCATTCAACTGCCTGTTTTCTCTTGCAACAAGAATAGCAGCAGAGAAATCCCCTCCTTAAATGCACAGAAACTGAACCTGAAGCCAGGTCTCCAAGGCATCTCCCCTGCTGCTGGAGATTGTGATCCAGTATGTTCCAGCCAGTTCACCATTTTGTTTAAGGAACAGGGAACAAATTGTATCTGACTCACGCGGGCGTTTGTTCAGAAAGAAGGTTTGTACACTCTCACAATACAGTTTACTCTCTCCCTGCATAGGCAAAATTAAACCACGTTATAGCACAAGCATTCAACAGTTGGCATGACGTTAGGAAGACACATTGGAAAGGTATGGAGCACTGGCTCTAGCTGTGTTGCCCTCAAGTTTTGTTCCAAATGCAGAAAAATATATTAAGAAAATTACAGATTCAATAGCGTCTCCTGTCAGGAGCTCAAGCCCCCTTCAATGCAGACACTAAATCAGGGGTCCCAATCCCCGGTCCGTGAAACGGTACTGGGCTGTGGCATGCCAGCAACTGGTCCGCACAAACAAGCCAAGCCCCATCCGCAGGATGCAGGCACAAACAAGCCAAGCCCCATCCGCAGGATGCAGGCACACAAAGCCACGCTCCCTCCGGTCAGCAGGAAAACCTCTCTCCATGTAACCGCTCCCTGGTGCCCAAAAGGTTGGGGACCTCTGCACTAAAGCAGGCATTTAGAACTGTGAGGAAACAATCTTACTCTGCAAATTATTTTTCATAGTGTAATCTCACACGGAGCCTTTTCCATTTAAAGTGGTTGGCCGTTCCAACTCCAACTCCAGCAACTGTTATTTGGTCACATTAATGATCCGTGGCACTGACCTAAAGGTTAGGGTTCAAGGAGCCGCCAGAACTTGCTACAAAAATCTTCATGCAACTGGCAAAGGGTTTTATTGCTTGTTTGAAATGCTCCAATGTTTTTATAGTCCGTTAATATCTACTCTAGCTAAATGAACTCACATATGATAGGCCAGCCATTAGGAGTCTCGGTGCCAAAGAATACTTCACTTATTTCTTTAAATCCTTCCCCATAAGTATTAAGATAGAGCTATGACCGTGGATCTCTATGTTTCAAAATTCTGCAGCTCTCTGATATGAAAAGGGATTAAATTTTCTCTTGTTAGTTTGGATTAATTAGCATCAGCTTGAGAATGCTGTTCAGAGGTGGAAAAAGTTACAGTGAGGCAATTTTGCAACAAAGTTAGGAAAAGGAAAGGGGGAATCAGGCGTTCTGGATTTACATTTAGGGAAAGAGCCCCCCCTGCAACATTGGCAGCATAAGAGATCAGTCAAAACTATTTGCCAAGCTGTTATCTTAAATGTAGCAGACAACCACCACATCTATCTTCATCTAATACACAGTCTACTTTTCCTGCTGGGTATAATTCATTTCCTTCCTGGCCAGCATCTTTTCAAGATCCATTTGATCTGCTCAATCTGGTATAATTCCCAAGTGGTGATGGGATTACAGTTTCCAGAATTCTCAGCTCACATGAATTCCAGTTCTGACTTCGGGGGAAAGTCTGGTTTATACATTTAACATAATTGTCAAGTGTAGCTAACAGTGTGTTAGTGGCACATTTACAATTCCTTAGACTGAAAAAATTAATTAGCTAGCACGGTAGGAAGTCACCTAGAATCATCCTTTCTTGTGGATACACTACTCTACTACATAAAAAAGATTCATTATTGATTCTGAACTCAGAAATTGAACGTAGACTGAACGTAGACATTTCACTCCCCTTCATGTATTCCCAATGCTCTATTGCTCACAAGAAATTTTACCTGCAAATCTGTTTTCATCAGTGAAGCTCCAGCCTCCACTATGTAATGGCAGATGGTCCGCTGGCGAAGTGCTGCAGCCTGATGCAAACTGGTCTCACCACTAACAGGAAGATTAAAATGGAGAACTAGGATCAAAAATACATACCCTCTTCTGCTATGTTCCAAAAGGAAAACAATACATAAAGTTCCAACACAACCCTGGCTGGAACCAGTCTGTAACACAGGTTCTTGTATGTTAATGTTCGCATGGCCTTAATAAGACATCAGCTAGGAAGAGAGGCTGAGGGACAGACAACAAAGAGGGAAAGTCCTCCTTAACAAGTCAGACCTAATATTTTCTTTTTTGCTCCCTGGAGACCCCAGTGGAAAGGGAAACAGCAACTTAAGAGTGAATGTGGCATTAAGGAAGGAAAGTTATGCAGAAACAACTGACTCCGGAGAGGGTGATTTATTGAAGTTCTTTGTAATTCCCTTGCACTAGGATTCTCTGATGACCTGCAGGCTGTCCACCTTTTCTACAAGTGGAGCTGCTGGTAGGAAAATAAAGCTTTCACTGCCTCTGCAAATAGATCCACAGACACAATTCCTGTTTCAAATAGTCAGTACTAAGTAGCAGAGAAAGCTGGAATTCTAGAGGACAAGGATGACAAAAAAGAGTAACCTTCTACTTGTTTTTTTAGACATAAGAATTTATGCTTACAACACAACCTATTCAGAATGACAGCTCTCAAAACCATGATCCCTGTCCTTTGATCCCAAAGGACAGACTGTGAGGTTGAACTATCCTTCTCTACACATAAGACTGTTCCCTGTCTAGGCTGAGCTATCCTTCTCTACACATAAGACTGTTCCCATACCAATTTGAACGAATGAATGAATGAACAAACACATGAATAAATAAATACACAGGCACCCACATGCTGGGTCAATTGGGGAAAAAAAAAACAGTATACAAGTTCCCTTGTGATGTTCTGCCACCATAACTGAGAATGGACTTACTTCTCTTCTTCTGCCACATCCAAAATCTCTGCAGGAGCTGGAATAGAGAAAGAGAAAACAAGATCAATCTTCATGATATGATCCATGCCACTATTTTCCCTGTCTACTATGGATGGAAAATCTATTTTCTTCCCCTTAAAGAGAAAATGGGATACACATACTGAAACCATTCTGTGAAATGCGCAATACTCATCTTCTAATACTTAGTATTCCAAATCTGCTTTTATATATTTTTATTTATTTAATTATATCCCATCTTTATTACTTTTATAAGTAACTCAACATACTTAATACGCCAGGGTTCTTCAAACTGGCCCTTTTATGATTTGTGGACTTCAACTCCCAGAATTCCTCAGCCAGCGTAAGTTTGAAGACCCCTGTAATACGCCTTCTTCCTTCTATTTTCCCCACAACAATAACCTCGTCAGATGATTTGGGCTGAGAGAGAGAGCGACTGGCCCCAAGTCACCTATCTGGCTTTTGTGCCTAAGGCAGGACCAAAGCTCAACATCTCCTGGTTTCTTCTGTCTTCTAGCCTGGTGCTTTAATCAGCTCTAGACAAGCTCTTTTCACAAAATCTATGGATGCCATATTGCCATATTGATTTACACAGGTTCACCGATTCTCTCAGAAAATAAGAACATCAGAAAGCTGCTTTGTTTGCCTATCTGCTCAGAGAAAAGATAACCATCAACTGGAATAGTGAACAGCACTGGATAAAGCTATGGGTTAACTGGGCAGTGATATTACTAGTTGGCTTTCTGATAGACAAGTGTTTTGTGATTAGCCAGGCCCATCAAGTAACCAGTTAATCAGGCAAGCCTCAATTAATGTTTGAAGAATATCTGTAACATGCACTTAAGGCTGAAGTCAGTATAATATTTTACACAGTCATACAACACTGCAAGAATCCATAATAAAAGTAGCATGTTGAAATCTAGTTCTCTGGTTGACTAGTTTCTTACACTGATTAAAATAATCATCGCTAATAAGATCATCCATTTTGCTGATCTGACTTACCATTTTCAATTATGTATTTCACAATCTCCTTACTCCCTGATTTGACAGCATGGTGAAGGGCAGTTTGGCCTATGGGATCACGCATCATCAAGTCTTTGCCAGCCTGGTGCAATTCTTTGAACTAGAGCAACACAGAATCACTTGAAATGAGCCACAATACAGACATTATCGAGGTAAGCCTCAATCAAAGCAATTTACACAAAAGTTTAAAAACAAGCGGCAACCAAAGGAGATTACTGGAAAAAGAAGTTAACAGTTAATCACTTGGATTGTGGTATGAGCCAGAAGCAATTAAAAAGGCCTTTCCAGCAAAAGGATGTTTCAGTCTCCCATTCAAAAGAGAGTATTACTGGATGTAATCAGAGGCAGCTGATCTGATATATTTAGAGAATCTGTGAGATAGTGTTCTTCTCTGCATTCACTGTTTCACATAAAAGAGTAAATTTGCAGCCAAATCCTATTTCTGGGCTGGTAACAGTGAGGGACATCTGGCTGATGGACATAACCAGGTGCTCTATCCATATCAAAAGCATTGCTTTATCATCCAAGAGAGTCGAAAGGCCAGGTCTCTTCTGCTCTGTTCACTGGTTGCTAAATCTGGGTTAACTAAAAACAATTTCCTTTCACATAATGTGCTAGGACCAAACAAACGAACAATAATATGGTGTAATGCCTTAGTTATTATACACCATGCTAAGATAACGGCTACAATACTGTAACATACCAAACGACTCATTACCCAACCCATTTCAGCCTGAAATAAGGTGGTATGCAAGCCCAATCATAATAACAGGATTGATCCTGAGGCGCCAGAATTACGAGGCCCTATTGTGATCTACAACAAGGATATTGCCAATAGAATGTGAAAAATATTATCCTTGCGGATCATAAAAAGCACAGAAGTTCACACAAGTGCTGAACTGAACAGCCTACTCGTAAATTACAAGGATCCAAAGAGTTAATGCTTTATAAATAGTAATTACTCGGTTTCATCACAATTCTTCCTGTCTTCTTATCCTCTATCATCTTAGAGGATAAGAACACTATTAAGAGACATTAACAGAGTAATCTGATGGGCTTTTATTTCTCTTTGTTGCAGCAAGCACTGTCTTAACTTACAGCTGGCTCAAGGAACACATGCTAAATCTCCCTGTAATACAATGTAATAAAGATTGCATTATAGGTATTTCTGACACTGAATATAAAACGCTGTGCCAAATTGCTCTGAGTTCTGAAAGAACAGATACAAAGAGGACACCCGACATATTTCTAGCAGAGATTATTATGGACCAGCAGCTGGATTTAAAATTCTCACCTGAATTCAGCAAGATTAGTTAATACTGCTGAAGTAGTTTGGTCTAGTGCAGTGTTTCTCAACCTTGACAATTTTAAGGCATGTGGACTTCAACTCCCAGAATTCCACAGCCAGCTGGCTGTGGAATTCTGGGAGTTGAAGTCCACATGCCTTAAAATTGTCAAGGTTGAGAAACACTGGCTAGTGTGGCTAAGGCAGCAGGCTAGAAACCAGGAGACTGTGAGTTCTAGTTTTGCCTTAGGCATAAACCTAGCGGAATGACCTTGGATCAGTCACTCTTGTTCAGCCCTAGGAAGCAGGAAATGGCAAACCAGTTCCAAAATCTTGCCAAGAACATTTGTAGGGACTTGTCCACGAAGTTGCCAGGAGTCAAAACTATGGATGTTTTACGCTTTCGTGTTAGTCAGATCCATACAACTGGAATTCATTCAAGTTCTTAGAAGTCTGTTATCCAAATGGAAAGTTTTAAGTTGTAACTTGTCTAAATATCTTTACTGGAAAATTAATCGCAATTCTCGTCATATCTTCTAGGCCAGGGCTTTTCAACCTTTTCACCCATTGTACCACTTTTAGGATATGGCAATATCCGAGTACCACCAGCTGCCTAGCAAGGTGTCAAAAACTTGATGACCCCCCCAAAAAGAAAAAGTGATAAAGTACAGGTAGTCCTCAACTTACAACAGTTCGCTTAGTGACTGTTCGAAGTTACAATGGCACTGAAAAAAGTGCCCCCCAAGCCACAGCCGAGCAAGATACCTGCCTGCCCACCCGGTGGTGCTCTTCCTCCTGTCCGAGGTTTTCACTGTTGCCTGGCGCTGATCCTGGTGCTTCCGCTGAGCCCTGCAGCTCCAGCCATCTCTCTTTCAGACTTGTGCGGTGCTGCCACCAGTTCAGTTCATTCCCCTCCCCTGCTACTTTTCTAGGATGGTTGCATACCACTTGCCAGATGCCAATGTACCACAGGTAGTACCCGTACCACTGGTTGAAAAGCCCTGTTCTAGGTGTCACAATAAAGCTCTAACAGAAATAGGAGGCCCTTGGTGAGCCTATTAGGAATTCACTGAATGAAAGGACCACCTGTCTTAAAGGAAATCTGCACGGCTGCTGAAGGATAACAAGCAAGCTGAAATCAGCAAGTCACTTGGCACCACTAAGAGATTGGGAAGAGATTGAGAAGTAATGCAAATGGCACTGTTATATACAAACCCTAAATAAAACCACTTTGGATGATAGTGGTGTGGCATAGGTACTATTGCTGTGGCATAGGTACTATATTCTATTATATTCTTCTCAACATTGCAGCTTGATTTTAACACAACAGAGCTGTTACCTTGGAAAAATTGTTATTCTTGGCAGCATCTATCAAAGCATCATCTGTAAAAGAAGAGACAGCAGAGTGCAAAATGAAGTAGTTGACAAAAAAAAAAGGCAAGACATGTGAGAAAGACAAATGCCAAAGAAATAGCAACTGGTGGGAGGGCTGACAATAATTCTACTTGGGGACAGAAAGTGGCTAATGAAAACAAAGATAGCTATCGAGAAAAACCTCATAAAATTACTTGTGACTTTTGTGTACTGCTGTTCATTAGGATAACTCTTACTTCCATCAATCTCAGACAAGTTGCAACTCAAAAATTCTGGAGGTTTTAATTAGGAGGGGGAAGCCTGCAATTGTTATTCTTATTCAGAAGTAAGAATAGAATCCTAGTGTGAAAAGGGAGAGAAAAGGCACAACTTTTTGCTTCTTGTGGAGATTCTGAATTGGATCCCTCACTATTCTTGCAATATACAGGGGGGGGGGAAACTCCCAATTAACTGAATGGGAGCTTCACTCCTATGGAAACCTATAGACAGAGGACTTGCTCACAGAAGGAAGAAGAAAGTGATGCAAATCCCCATATTAGAATCCTCAATTTACATATTAAAAATAACCAACAAAATTTGGTTTTATGCATGCAAACTTTTCTGACATGGAATGTAAGCTCCATTGGGCGTGTCTGGAAGAGGAAAGATAAGCCCCCCCCCAAATTTAGATGCAAAATATGTGTTACTGTGGAGGCAAGATACAGTAATTTATTCAAATTCATCATTTCCTGAGTAAATGTTCTACTGTTTACATTTCAATAGAAGATAATGGCTTGAACTGTGGAGTCCTTTGTGCTCTCTGAGCTTGGTTGTTTGCTTGTAGATCCTGTTTATTACACAACTACAGTGCTAATGATAGTTCCTTGACTAAGGTATTGTTTTCTACTTGAACTACCAAGGAGAAAACAGCTCCCCCCCCACCAATACTGGCAGGGTAAGTTGCTGTATATAAACAGAGAGCAAACCCCACATTCACTAGCACTTATATTTTACCTAATCAGATAATGGAATGTCTGTAAACAAAACAACCAAGCTCAGAGAGCATCAAGAACTTCATTGTTTAAGTTTCACTGCTCTTAGATACTCATTTTTGTAGACATAGGTGTAGTACAAGGAATAAGACTTGTGAAATTCCCTGATTTTCACAGGTTGCTAGTATTGTTTCCTTTTTCCTGCAACTCCAAATCTCACACACAAACATCCAACCTAATACATAACTCAGATGTAGAGAATTTAAGAAACAAGTTATTGAGGAAATTAAGAGAGTACAACCAGGAAAGTGGGGGGGGGGGGGAAGAGAGGGAGGAAGGATATGGGAAGAACAAAAATATTCAAGGAGGGAGAAAAGCACATGACTCAGATCTCCAGTGTGAAACTCATGACACCTCTTTAGGTGCTCACAATATGTCATGCTCTTCCCAAGGAAGACAAAGTCAAGAAAGAGAGCAAACCAGTTAAAATCTGTACTTTTTAGCTCCCTAATCAAAATGTCCTAAGGCAGTGGTTCTCAACCTGTGGGTCGGGACCCCATTTGGGGTCGAATGACCATTTCACGGGGGTCGCCAAACAACACAGTCCGCCATTTTTTCCCCCTTTACCTTAGCTGTGCTACTCCCTTTTATTCTATTGGCTTTTGAAAGCCAATAGAATAGACTCTCTTGAATAGAGTCTAATTCTATTGGCTTTCAAAAGCCAATAGGAATTGTCTAGGCTGTCTCCGCCCTGCTGAGCCCACCAAAAGTCCTATTCTGCAAACGGTGCTGCACCAGTTGGGTAGTCCTCGACTTACGACCGGTTGAGTAGTCCTCGACTTACAACCGGTTGGGGGTCGCGGCATTAAAAAGGTTGAGAACCACTGTCCTAAGGAGATACAGGAATGGAAAGCGGAATGGGGGAATAAATCACACAGCTTCCCAGTGTACAATTTTTTTATGAAGGTATTACCTAGAAGATTTCTGTATTTGTCTTAAACCCCCTCCCCCACCCATGGATGTCCAGGCATTTTTAAATTTGTACATTTTTTGTCTAAGCTTTTTTCCTATTGGCATTATCATTTGCTCTCCTGAGAAATAGGTGTTTTATCCAACATGTCTTTTGTAACTGATTATTTAGGAAAGAACTTGCTTGATGTCATTAGGGTAGTCCTCAGGGCAGCCATTTTGTGATGGTTTTTGGACACGTTTTTGGTTTTATGGCAGAAAAAAAATCCTGCAGATTCCTTTCATAGCATAAATGATTAGTCAGCGTGAAAAGATGAGGCAGAAAAGGTGAACAGGAAAGAGGAAAGCAGATGCCCTCAAGGAGATGGTACCTGGAAGATGCCTTATCAATGGTTCATATTTCGAGGAATTATACTCTATTCAACTCTAGGAAACACTTTTCATTTGTTCAACTGAAAGAGGTCCCTGACTGGCATCTGGCAGACCTTAATCCTGCTGCTTTTCCTTGCATCCCATGCTGCTAGAGATGGAAGATTAACTTTGTATCACTGTGACATTTTCTCCCAAATGTTGTGAGTTGAGGAAGGCAGTATGCAAAGCCAATGCTTCTTGCCTTGAGAACCATCATCCAAGCAGGTGCTCTCCAGAAAGAATTCCCCAAGCAGGATTCCAGCAACTTTAAATTCCTGTTGCAGCAGGGATGAATAAAACTTTAATTTTCCTGCATTAGAGAACATTTGCATAGTGTTCTGGCCTGGCTTCTGCTTGTATCTTTGTAGTTGTGTAATGCTCTTATATCTAAATGTCACCTACCAGATGCTAAAAGTAAACTCTACTGCAAGCTGTACTAAAACACTCGTTTTCAAATCTGGACATATCCCAATGTGAGATCTCACCTGCATGATCAAGCACATTGGTGATCAAACGTCTTTCCCCAAGTGTAAATATTCAAATAAGTATAACTGGACACAGCACTGATGCTTCTCACTTCTATAGATTGTATCAGTTATGCTAAAAAAAGTTAGAAACAAATTATACCGCAAGTCCATATAGTGAACAAAAGGCCTCACCTTTAAGGGTCTGGCTGCTGTCCACTGCTGAGCTGGAAGAACAAAACAAGAAAGATTCAAAGCTAAAAAACAGGTCCTTCCTATTCAAGGCCCTCCCTTCTATAAGAATTCCTCTCTATGTGCCTAGAATCAAAGAGACAGAATAGGGAAGATCCTGCTGTTCCTACAAATTGGTAATTCTGATTTGTGCTATTTAAGGAATTAAGCCATCTGAAATAAGTAATTGATCCAAGATGTTTTCAGGAATTCACATCTTCTATCTTGGCTTGTTCACCCAGTTTGAACCACCATGCCATTCCGTTAAAATTAAAACAGATGATCCAATATTCCAATTATTGAAGCTATGGGTATAGAGCAGTGTTTCTCAACCTTGACAATTTTAAGGCATGTGGACTTCAACTCCCAGAATTCCACAGCCAGCATTGCTGGCTGTGGAATTCTGGGAGTTGAAGTCCACATGCCTTAAAATTGTCAAGGTTGAGAAACACTGGTATAGAGAGTAAGGAACATCACCTTGACAGGCAAAAGGGACTAATACACTTTTAAAGTCCAGACATTCAGATAACCTTTGGAAGTGGCTCAGGCTGACACTTCTGTAGTTCACTGAGGAGGAGGAGGAGGTACAGCACAATCAGACTTGCAAAATGTTGTTAGTACAGTCAATCTCAACAGAGGTTGTTGTAGCCATCCTATAGAGTTGATTTTATAGCCTGGTATTTCTAATGGAGCTGACAAATAAGCCCTCCTATCCCAGTTCAAAGATTCAACTCACAAAGACTGAATTCTCATTCCTCATTTTGTATAAAACCTTAAGCTATTTTTCCTTGGGGTCCTTCCCTTAATCTAGCCTGGTCTTTCTTACCTCTAGTCCCCAAGCAGACAGCCTCACCTGGAGACTGGTGTAGACGGTGGTGAAATTGGGAGAGGAAGGTGTTGCTTTGTAGGTGTTGAGGGAACATCAACAAGGTCAGGCATGGCAGGAGATGTGCCCACTGTTTGAGTGCGCACTAGTTCTGGGTCTAACACAAACAACTCATCCTGGGTGATCTCTGTTACATAATTAAGATGTTCCTGGAATTATATAGATAAATAATTTTAGGGACAGAATTTTTCTACTATTGTTATCTAGTCAGGACCTCAATCAATATCATTTGATAATATGCAGCAAACCACTACAATTGTTTTTTTTTTCTATATAAATACATCAAAAACAAACAGAAACAAAACTTAGCTCGAGATAATAACTATTTCTGAAAGTAGTACTGAATATTTAAAAAAGAAATTAAAAACTAAGATGTATGTAAAGAATCATATGCTATTTTATAAAAAGCATGAAAATATACTTTTTATTTTTTATTTATTGGAGAAGCTCATTGTCCATTCTCTTTGGACAACAAAGTAAAGCTCACCTGGGCACGGTCTATTCTATAAAAACGATCTGCGGTGGTTGCTGTAAAAGAAATACATAAGTTACTTGGTATTTATACAGAATCCCAGAAAGTTATTAAGTGCCTTCATTCATTTTCTCAATAATTTAACTGATATTGTCTACCTACTTCCCAATATATCTTTGTAGCAGAAAGCCCTGGAATTTGCCTTTCCAAAGAGACAACTGAAAGATGTTGAATTCTGAACTCAAGGCAATATTCCATAATTGAATGCTGAATACAATAAGCATGACATATGGTGTCAACGTTGTTAGCCACTTTAATAAAACATGATTTACTGCATTAAGGTAAACAGATCCAATTATTCTCTTATTTTTAGTCACCTTGCCTGAGTACAAATAAAGAAACCAGCTTCATTAAAATGTGCTTTTTTTTCTTATTACATGGTTGCGTATGCTAAATATAGTGAGTTTTGACAAAATCTCATTCATTTAACAAGATACTCGGTGTGACATATACCTGTATGCGTATCGTACTGAATATAAAACTCACTTTCATATCTTGACAGTTAAACTGATAGGTTATTATCATCACTATCTGTTAATCAATGAAAGAATAATTTAAAATTAAATAAAATCCACTGAGTGCCAGGGATTCATGTTAGTAGGAGTTACTCCCATCTTTGACGGTTTAAGTGACATAAAAAGTTCCATGAGGAATAAAGCAAGAACTGGCTGCTCCTAAATGCTCCATCATACCATGTTATGCACATTTCTTTCTCCACCAAGATCAGTGAACGCACACACACACACCCAATTAGGATGATGTAAGGGCACTCCAGCTAGCATTTGTATAGACTTTCAGAATATGACTGCAACTATGTAAATAATTTGCTGCTGTCTAATTTAAAAAGTCTATGATTTCCCAACTTTTCCAGAAGGTTTCTGACTCATTTCACATAAGACTAAGGTAGATTAGCAAGTAGATAGGATACAAGCCATGATACCAAGACAACTCTTTTTCTGACAATGCTTCTGTGACATGTTAGAAAGCTGTCTTCTGCCTTCCAACAATAGGGGAATTTGCTGTCTTACTCAAAAGGCATTGCTGGTTTATAAAGAAAATATAGAGGTATTCAGTTTCCCAGTTTGGGGCCCTTCTGATATGTTGTTCAACTTCCAATGCATCCAAAAGCCAGGAGCAAGTGGCTGAGCTATATGGAAATGGAGGGGAAGTGCTCACTCCCAATAGATCAGAATCATTAATAAATAGTCTTTAGTGTTATTGGGTGCTCACACCCAATAGATCAGAACTTTTGTTTTGCCTCCATATGTCTGTACCAAGGCTCTGGGCATAGGAGAGCATTCAGCTAGGGAACTACAGCCCAGGTGACTAAATTTTGTTGACTTACAGAACTTTCTTTACTTCTTTTGGATCTTCAAAATGCTGTGACCAAGCGGAGGTTGCTATGGCTGGACCCTAGAAAGACTGGGGAATTTTATTTGGGAATAGAGCAGAAGTGATGGGAAAGGGAGGGGAGCTCATGACACAAGCCAGAGCAGATTAGAAGACTGAAAGAGCCTCGTTTATCCTGTCCTGGGGAGAGATTTACAGTCGTGGAGCTGTTGATGAAGGCCAGTAATTCAACCATTTTAATGAGCCTGTGTTGCCCCTGAATACCACTCCAGCTTTTTTTTTTTTTTCCTCCAATGACACATTTTCCTCTATTTGGAACATGCAGCTGGGAAACTGGCAGAAAAAGAGGAAACAATCTGCAGCAACAATATCTGGGAACAGGATCCTCAGACAGGGGCACAAAAGGGATGGCCTCTTCTCACTGGGATCCCATAATCAAATGGGTCCATGTGCCTGTATGTTGTGCATCGGGACTGGTGATGTCATTTCTTTATTTGGGAACAAGATTATACAGTGATGTACATTTGGAAGGATGGTTTTCTCTTATTCCTTATGAATAAGGGATGGGCCGGAGTGAAGGAGAAGCTAACAAATAACTGACCTACTGATACTGGCAGAACTATAGTATCCTACAGTTCCTTGGGGTCTAGGAGCATAAGGCTCCCACTCTGGGCCACGCCTTCTTCACCTCTTGCCTCTTGCCTCCGCCCATTTACCTCCAGCGTTCCTCCTTGGCTGGCCCTCCCCCACCCATTCTCCCTGGCCAATGGGACCCTTGCCCTTCACCCCGTGCCTTTTGGCTTGGCTGTTTCACCGAGGCACCCTTTGTCCTGGGCCTTTGGCTGCACGGGACAGATAGCCGCCAGCCAATCGGGTGGGTGTCAGGCAGAAGCCATGGGCAATCGCAAGTGCTGTATTATGGGGCAGCAGGCAAGCAGCATGCAAAGAAAATTAAATTTTAAATGCATTTAATTGGCAGGCTCGACTTCACAAACATATGATAACCATACGTTTCTGAGACAGACATTTGGTGCTTTGCTTGTTTAATACACAAAATGAATGTGTCGGATAAGGTGCCATTCACCTGCTGTCCCTCACCAGGCCGCCCCTCCTCCCACGTCCCCCGCAATGGCAGAAGCTGCGCTGGCCCTGCCATTCGCCTATTCACCCCCCACCCCCCTCAATTGGAGAAGCCGTGCAGGCCCTGACGTTCGCCTGCTGCCCCACAACACAGCCCCTGCAATCACCCACTGCATGCTGTCCCCTTGCAGCACCATGGCTTCTCCCTGCCACCCACCTGATTGGCTGGCAGCTATCTGACCTATGCAACCAAAGGCCCAGGACAAAGGGTGCCTTGGCGAAACGGCCAGGCCAAAGGGCACAGGGCGGAAGGCAAGAGGCCCATTGAGCAGGGGAGGGCCCGCTGAGGAGGAATGCTGGAGGCAAATGGCCAGAAGCATGAGGCGCGAGGTGAAGGAGGTGTGGCCAAGGGTGGGAGCCTAAAGATCCCATTCCAAGTTCCCTGAGGGAGCGGAGACAGAGGAAAGATTTTAAAAGTCCACACAAAATGGAGGGAGAGTGACGGGCAGTTAAGAAGTATGAAAAAACAAACAAATGGAATCTGGAAAGCAGAAGAAATCAGTGAAACAAATTACTCTTTCTTTCTCTCTTACACACCTTGATTAGAAGGAAGAATATACATAGAATACGGTTCCATCTACTAGTATTATATAAAAAGGACCTGTAAGACATGAATCTCTCCCAGTGTCCTCTCCTCAGTCTTCATTGTGGCCTGTCCATTTTTTTTTTTTTAACTTTCTGCACTCTCCAGTATCTATCCTGGTTAAATCCCACTGTATTGCATGTTGTCCCCATCTATTAGATCTTTAGAGCTTTGTTCCAATTGCCCACTATAACTTTACTGAAGGGAGGCCCAGAGGGATGTGCTGCGTCAACAGACTCCAAAAACCATGCAAACTGTTCCCTGTCTGTTTGGGAACTTATTCCAGCTTTGCTATAGGGGGACAAAAGCTCCCATTGTCTGAGCCTGTGGGAGAGTCTCAGAGTCTTGCTTAAACTAAAACCTTAAAAAGAGCTGAAGCATGCTACTAAAAGTGAAAAGTGCAGCTGAAAGCTTTAGGAAGGCCTTCAGGTAGGGGGCAAATTATAGCTGGGAAAGAAGTTGGAACAAAACTGTGTTTGTAAACAAGTTTCTGCTGTTCTGCCGAGCACTTGAGAATTTTTGCAAAACACAGCTGGTTGGGTCACAGACCCAGCAAGGGGGAAAAAAAATAATGAAATCAATTGTTATTACTTTGCCTTCTCTTGTCCCCCCCCCCCAAAAGCTATAATTGAATTTGATGCACAAAAGGCAACTTTTTACTGCAGCAAATTCATTGCTATTCATTGTTTCTGGGAATTCTTAGCTAGGTTATGGTGAAACTGCTTTATTTTCCTCAGCCTTTTCCTGTAGAGCCATCTGCTGGCCAAGGAGTAATCTCATTCAGGCATTACCATTCAGTCCAACATGGAGAAATGGCAACAGATGGCAACGGTATAAAGTCCTCCCTCAAATTTTGGATAGTCAAAAGGTTCCATAACTGAATGAAAACGAAGCTTGTTACAGAGTACTATATAACATGGAACAAGTGGTATGACTGGTTAAGACTAGAAATAATAGAGGAGAATAAATATGGAAAGGTCAAAAGTGAAAATATGTGTATAATAATGTATAATAATATGAACTATTCTTAGTAAGAAGTAGAATATGAAGGAAGAAAAATGTAAATAAGAAACAACGGGGCAATAAGAACAAATATTCTAAAGAAGAATATGGGGGGAAATGTAAATAATAGAAGATTACCGTTACGTAATCGCTGTAAAAAAAAGGGAGAGGAGTATAGACTGTGTGTGTATGTGTGTTATGTTTTGCTTTGTTGGTTAAAAATAAATAATTAAAAAGAAGAAGAAGAAGAAGAAGAAGAAGAAGAAGAAGAAGAAGAAGAAGAAGAAGAGGAAGAGGAAGAGGAAGAAGAAGAAGAAGAAGAAGAAGAAGAAGAAGAAGAAGAAGAAGAAGAAGAAGAAGAAGAAGAAGAGGAAGCTTGTTCAAGACATTTCCTTGAAACCAAGGCTCTATTTTTCTGAAACACAAAAAGCCTTCTTATATATGCTATTAATCCAACTACATTGACCCTGATATTTATATTGTAAAATGAGACTGTTGTTGTATAAGGATTGCCATTAGTTCTTTTTTACTCTTTTTATTTTTATTCAAAAAAAGTTAAAATATAAACCTTCAAAATTAAAAAAAAAACTAAGAAAAAACACAAAACAAACAAGACATTAAAAAAGTGCATTAAAAAAAGAAAAAAACCTTCACAAATTATCCTCTCAATTGAATACTGCTTATTAGAATATTAGTTTCTCACCTTTTGTAAAACTGCCCCTTCCAAATTTTAAACTACTAAATATATTTGCAAATCATTAACCTGTCATCTATCTACTATATTAATGTCAAAATAGTTAACAACAACAATAAAAAAGACAAAATTAAAGTTTTAAAACCCTCTGTTAAGAAACTGTTATTGTAGTCAACTTGTAGAGAATTTATCTATCCCAAATTGTCCCAACATGGAGAAATAGCAACAGATGCCAACGGTATAAACTCCCTCAAATTTTAGATAGTCCAAAGTTCCGTAATTGGATGAAAGTGAAGTGTGTTCAAGACTTTTCCCTGAAGCTAAGGTTCTATTTTTCTGAAACACAAAAAGCCTTCTTTATATATACTGTTAATCCATCTAAATGGACCCTGATATTTATATTGTAAAATGACACTGTTGTATGATGATTGCCATTTGCTCTTTAATTCAGACCCAAGTGTGCTCTCTCTAATCTAGAGATGCCAAGAACTGAACCAAGGATATTCTACAAATAAAGCACAGGTTCTATTGCTCAGATACAGACCTTCCCTAACTTGGAGTTTAAATGTATGGCTTATTCCAACCTAGTAATCTAGAACTCAAATGATTTAGTGAATTGCAATGAGAGTAAAGTGAATTATGGCTTCTGTCTAATTACAGCAATGAGCTGGAAAGCTTACGGGACCAAACATAAGAATAGATTATTTTATGTTTGTAGATGTCTAAGTATTTTATGCAATACTTATAAAGGGATTTTGAAGCTGCCTCCTGCTCTGATGGTGCTACAGTACTTTACCATCCATTGGAGAGAAAAAGAGGTGGGGAAAGAGTGAGTGGGTTGTCCTGTCCATTTCCAATTCCAATTTTGTTGCTGCTGGCATATAGATTGAGATACCCTTTCCTGAAACTAGTGCTGACCTCAGGCAAAAATATTCTCCACCCATTGAGTTTTTCTTTAGGCAAGAAAAACCAAATGCACAGGTATAGTATGGGTGGTACCTTGCTCAATAGTAGCAACTGTGAGAGGGATCTTAGAGTCCTAGTGGACAATCACTTAAATATGAGCCAGCAGTGTGCTGCAACTGCCAAAAAGCCAACACAGTGCTGGGCTGTATTAACAAAGGGACAGAATTAAGATCATCTGAAGTGTTAATACCACTTTACAATGCCTTGGTAAGGCCACACTTGGAATACTGCATCCAGTTTTGGTCAACACAATGTAAAAAAGATGTTGAGACTCTAGAAAGAGTACAGAGAAGAGCAACAAAGATGATCAGGGGGTTGGAGGCTAAAATATATAAGGAACGGTTGCTGGAATTGGGTATGTCTAGTTTAATGAAGAGAAGGACTAGGGGGGACATGATAGCAGTGTTCCAATATCTCAGGGGCTGCCACATAGAAGAGGGAGTCAAGCTATTCTCCGAAGTACCTGAAGGCAGCACAAGAAGCAACTGATGGAAACTAACCAAAAAGAGAAGCAACCTAGAACTAAGGAGAAATTTCCTGACAGTTAGAACAATTAATCAGTGGAACAACTTGCCTCCAGAAGCTGTGAATGCTCCAACAGTTTTTAAGAAGAGACTGGACAGCCATTTGTCTGAAATGGTATAGGGTTTCCTGCCTGAGCAGGGGGTTGGACCAGATGACCTCCAAAGCCCCTTCCAACTTTATTATTATTATTACTATTATTATTATTAAACAATTCTTTTCACACATCTACTTTTTAACACAGTATTTTTGTCCCCCAATTAGTGCATATAGATCCAGAATATCTATTAAGCATCTGTTCATGTCTTATGTTGTTCTCTAATCAATTAAACCAAATTCAGGGATACCATATCTGAACTGCAAAAATGTAGAACACTTGACAGTTTCAGAGATAAAGTTTTCTTTATGTTCTCATCATGACTTGGCATCACTGCAGTCCAAATGCAGCAACTCGGTTACCCCATAACAAATGTTAAATTTAACTACACTTATTCCTCCACCAACTTTTCAGCTGAAGTAGATGATATTTGCACGCAGGGCTTAGAAAGAGAAACAAAATTAGGCAGGATACCTAATACCATAAAAAGACATATGTAAAATCTATAATCTCTCGCTAGAGAAAGAGGCTAAATTGAATTTAGCAGAGAGAAGTGAAAAATTACTTGCTTAAAAATATAAAAATATTTTATATTATATACTGTATATAAAAATATACAGTATGTAATGTGTATACTGTAACTGTACTCTGGGCCTATATTTTTGTTTTCTAGTTTTGCTAGAAAACCTGGAATAGTATTGTGCTGCATAGTGATGTTCCTGCAAAAAAATAGCCAAGGCAGTTCAATTACTGAATTTAGTTCTTTAAGGACGTTTCTGAGAAACTGGATCAGATCAGATTCAGAGGGTGATATCAATGATCAGAGGACAAGGAATAGTTTGAAAATGCTGGTTACATTTAATTTTAAGAACAGACAATGGAGGGATATATGATAGTGTTCGTCAAATACCTACCAGAAGGACATCAAATGAAAGAAAAGTCAAAACCAGCTTTCTCTCATTCCAGAGTGTAGGACATGGAATAAGGAATTTAAGTTATAAAAAGAAAAGATTGAGTATCTGGTTAAAAAAAATCAGAAAGGCTCCACTTTAGTTCCAGCAGGGGACAGCTAGCTGCTTGCCTGGGATTATTTAATTGTTGATTCTTGAACTGAGCAGGAGTATTGCACTCAATACTTAATATACCACAGCCCCCCCCCCAACTCAATGTTTCAGTGATTCCTGCATTAAATCCTGAAAAGTTCCTTCTATCTGGTATGTATTCAAGAATAGCCAAAAAATGGTCAGAGAAAGCAATTGAGAACAAAGGAACTTTCCAAAGGTGCAGCCGAATGCCATTAACTTAAGAAAAATAAAATCCTATTATGGAAACATTTTCTACTGCAGTGCCAGCATTAGTGGCAAGATTTTCCCAAGATGGTAGCATGGGAAATCTTTAATGCAACAGTTTCCACACAGTGATTGTAAAGTTTACGGATACTGAAGTAACCACAGTCATATGTACTCACAGTCTAGGAAGCACCATTTGGGGGAGAGCTTCTGGCATGACAATGTCTTTGGTTTGACTCCATCTCCCTCCTGGATCAAAATATATGAACAATAAAAAAATAAATTGCCCTGTATTCCTGTTTCATCTAGGAACACTTACTGTCTCTTCTGTTTTCTTTTTCTTACCTATATAACCCAGGTAGACTCAGTGCATATATATATATATATATATTGTCAAATAGTATGGCATAGAACTAGAGCATAAAGTTGTACAGCTCAACAAACATGCCCCAAATATCACTGAACAGGTACTGATGCAAGCTAATCACACTGTGTGGAAGCAGAAGAAGGAAAAAGAGGACTCACAGGTAAGGAGAGAGAAAAAGATACACACCTGAGGAAACAGATTCTGAATAGTGGAAGTACAAGAAGAGAAGTCCTGTGGAAAAGGAAGGAGCTGAGTTACCATAACAGTAATGAAGAACTTCATTAGAGATCCAGCTTTGTGTAGTGGTTAAGGTACCAAATTAGAAACTGGGAGACTTTGAATTCTAGTCCCACTTTAGATACAAAACCAGCTGGGTGACTTTGAACCAGTTACACCTTCTCAACCCTAGGAAGGAGGCAATGGCAAAACATTTCTGAAATGTTGAAGGCGCCCTCCCCTCCAATAAAAGCTTGTATAGCTTTCACTGAGATTTGCAGGTGCACGTCATACTTTTGAGGAGCCTCTGTGGGTCAACTGTCACAAGTCATAAGGAGACTTTGAAGAGAGGAACTGACAGTAGAATCTAAGTGCTCAAAAACACCATCCCAGTAATTCAAGGACTACGCTATCACAGCTTGTATCATATGTTTCCACTAAATGAACCACTTTCGTAACTCTTTTCTGTAATAGTCCAACTAGCTGAAGAAACTGAGAGATGTAAAGTTTCAGGACCCTACCGGCCTAAACATTTGCATTCTTCATTACCTGATCGATAACCAAGTACTAGACAAAGAATGAACCCAGAATGTACGAAAGAGAGTGCAGAAAGGAGAGAGAGGTTAGAAGTAAACGAACACCCATTTTATTCTATTTTCTTCGGCAAATCTAGTTTCAAGAGCAACCTTCCCAAACTTAGTGTCCCACATGAATAGCAATTAGTTGAGCTGGATAGGAAAATCACTTGAAACTACCCAGTAAGAGAAAGCTGCTCTTTCTAGAAGGGGGCTCTTCCATACATTCAAACTGTAAGCTAAAGGAGGAAAACAGCAGGATGAGTCTGTTGAAAGAGAATTTGGAATATTGCTTGTAAATATTTTTTGATAAAATTCAAGCTTCTCTTAGACATAGGCCATAAAGGTCTAGGATGGGTTTTTAGATTAAGGTTGAATAAAGAGGAGAAACAACTGAAGTTCTCTCTTGATTTGAGAATGAGTCATTGTGGAAAGCACTTGTCTCTGTCTTGCAAATCAAGTAGGATTAAAACTTTGTTCAGAATGTCTCTTCGAGAATATTAAGTGATATGAGAATAAATATTACTTATCCATCCTCTTCCCTATCCATCCATCCCTATCCATCCTCTTGAATAGTTATGGTGGCGCTCTAGATTATAACAAGGGCAATTCTTTATTGATTATGGATATTTACATATCTCCTTTCAATTAGTTTGGGTAGTTCAGATGGATTAAATTATCATACTGCATATCCTATCTGTATTTCTTTTTTTACATATGATTATTATGGATATTGATCACAATAGTTAAAAAGTAATATAAGCTAAACTTAAAGGAAGACAATAATAAGAAAAAATAAAAAGTGCAAGAAAAAATACAGAAAAGAAAACTACAAAGAAGACTTCCAACTTTTATTACAATAAATACAGACAACTTTACCCCTATAAGGTTAGATACTTATATCACTTCCCTTACTTATAATAAGCAAATGTATAAAACATCAACTTTTCAACGTTAGTGTCAGCAAAAAGTCCGTAACTTCACTTAAAAGTTTACTTACTTCACATCTGCCATTGCCTCATTGACATCTTTGAACCTATCCATATGGTCAGACATTATTACTAATACTGTAACTACTAATTTCTGGATCCTTTCTTCAAAATTCTTCTTGAGTATTTCCAATGATACAATGTTTTGTGTCAATTTGTAAGTACCAGTTAACTGGCACCAAAAGTTGGCTTGCATTTTTTTCCTTTTACTTAAAATCTTTATTCACCTCTGATGTTCAGTTTCTAAAATTATAAAGTTGTTTATCTTATGAACTAAGATAGTTCAAAATAATTCTAATTCCCATGAGAAGCTCTATCTTTTTTATAGATTATTCAGAAATCTTATAGTTAAAATCAGTATTCCAAATTTACTTACCCTTACTCCATTTGTAACTTTCTCAGATCAGAATCTTATTTAATTTTTACTGTTTATTTCAAATTCTTTCAGTTCTTAAGATAGTAATTAATTTTTCTTTTATTCAGAGTTGTAGCTAAACATACTCGACAACTTTTCAGATTTGTCATTTCAAAGATCTCTAACAATTTTATGATGGTTAAAAGGTAATCCCCCCCCCCCAAAAGAATTAGAAAGTGAGGCTTGTGAACTTAGTGTCCTTTAAAAAGCTCCACTGTGGTTATGAGCAAGACAGTTAATCCCTTTGTCCTCCACATCTTAAACCTGGGGAAGACCGCTGTTCTATGATCTCCTCGTGAAGTGCAGCCATGTGGAACCCACGCGAGTGATCTCTTGTCCTCTCCTTATCTGGGAGGTTCTGAAAAACTGATCTACTCACCTCCTGAAGCCTTTCAGTGGTTCTTTTGTTTCTATCATGGTGTTCGGCTCTGTTATTGCAAAGATTTTTTCAGTTTGCCATAACTTCCCCAGAAATCAGTGACCCCATCTGGATTTCCTACTCCTCGTTTTATCCACATATTTCTTTTATACAAATGGTATTTTTACAGCTCAACCCGAATTCTTTGCCAGAGCATGTGAGGAGGAATTCTTAATTTAAACAAAAATAAACCTCTTCTTTTTTTTCACTGTGGTACAGTGAACTGGGAACAAGAATATCTCCTTATGCATTCTTTGCTTTTAACTTCAAAACAAGAAAATCATTATCACTGTGGAAGTACACATATTACTGAAGTAAGGATATGGGGTATGCTGTCTGACAAGTCATTAAAGTGTAGTAAGACTGCACTTTCCCCTTACAATAGTTTTTCTAGCAACTCACCTCTTGAAGCCTTTCAATGTGGCTCCGGCATAATTCCAAATCACTGTCTCCTGGAACCACGATAATTCCTAAAGGCACGGCTGTAAAATAAAAAAAAATGCAATTACTTTTGCCTGCTAACCACATTTGTTATGATTGCTCAGTATCCAAATATTTTACTTTGGCTTATAAGCCCCTGAGAAACTGCTAGCTCATCAACACTTCTGAGGGGGGGGGGGAGAACCTATGTGCAAAAAATGGATTTACATTGTGGACTAAAACACTATTTCTAAAAGTGTGCTATTTCTCATATTCTGATGCAAGACCTTTTTAATATTCATCTTATTCAGTGTGTCACAAAGGTCAAAAGAGGTCTTATTTTAACATTAGTCACTTACCAGCTATTGAGAGAAAGTGGGTACAATAATAAACAAACCGCTCCAAATTCCAGATGTTCCTGTAGGGTGCTTGGCCTTTCTATTTAAACAAATCCCCCCAATTACTTACAGGCTTCTTTGAGTTTCTCCTTGTCATAATGAAGTGCCTCATAGTCATGCATGCCAATTCGGCTTACACGGATTCTTAACCGTTCTGGAACTGGTTGCTGACTGAAAAGAAAGGAGCAAACATGCTTGAAAAATTAGGCAGGACAACACTATGGTGTGCGAAAAGGAAAGAGAAGATGCTACTGACTGAGAAGGTGACCGGCAATATTTTCTAACAGCAGCAATAATCTCAATGTGTCAGGTTTCTAACAAACTTCTCTTAGTTGTGCACAAGCATGCTCAACAGTTGCATGTTGCACACATAGTTCCATTCGGAGAGAAATGTTTAATAGCTATCGAAGAAAAACTCACCTGGCCAATGCAGACAGGCAGCAAAGCTACGTGCACTTGTATCTACTGGGATAAGGCTAAATAGGAAGAGTAATATTGACAATCTACTACTGTCATTTTAAATGGGGATCAGGGGAATCCACGCTACTGTGTATTTGCCCTCCAGAGAATAGGAAGTATTGCTTAAAGAAATATAAGTGTTGTTTTTTTACCAGGCCTGCACTTTTATGTACTTTGAATGTATTCTATGACATAACTCATCCATCCCAAGAAAGAAGCTTCCAAGATTTCCCAAAATATGTAATTATCAATGTCCAGGAATTAGTAAAATTACTCTCCATTCCCTAACATATTCTGATAGTAGGCCAATGAAATAATTTTACTTCACCAGAAACCTATTTGTAACATACAAATAACATCCCTTTCTCAATTTTTTTTAATCTGGTTACTAGGAATCTGGGACAACTTTGAATCTTCCAAATAAAATCATCTGAGGAGAGCATTGTGATTGCCTCCAAAGTTTTTTTGATTTAATGGGTTAGGTCAGTGTTTCTCAACCTTGACAATTTTAAGGCATGTGGACTTCAACTCCCAGAATTCCACAGCCAGCATTGCTGGCTGTGGAATTCTGGGAGTTGAAGTCCACATGGCTTAAAATTGTCAAGGTTGAGAAACACTGGGTTAGGTAGAGAATTGTTACTGAAGCTTTTACACTATTGGCAGAGAAATTAATTCTTTTTTATTTCATAATGTCTTATACAGCCTCCACCTAACGCTTTCAAACTTGTCATAAGAACCTATTTAACATAAAGTAACGAATACTCAAAATTAAATTTAAAACATTGGCTAAAATTTCAGGGAGCTATAAAACTGTCTTATAGCCTTGGAACCTTCCCTGACATTGAGTCTTAGATTTTGCAGTATTTCTCAACCTTGACAATTTTAAGGCATGTGGATTTGAACTCTCAGAATTCCACAGCCAGCTTTTCTGGCTGTGGAATTCTGGGAGTTGAAGTCCACATGCCTTAAAATTGTCAAGGTTGAGAAACACTGCTTTGGGGCATGATAGAAATCCAATAGAAACTGTAGCAAAGCTGAATAATGTGAACTGGTGAGACCTCCTTTCTTCCTTGTAGCAAAGCCTGGGAGATCCTCCCTAGAGTACATACTCATTCAACAGAGGCATGGAGTTTCTCCTCTTGGTCTTCTGCACCATGTTTGCTTGGTTGCGCAATGAAATGCGTATGCAGGAAGCTCCCAGCTTGCAAGGTTCCCCATCCACTTGCATGGGGATGGCTTTGGATGTGGTAAGTACCACTTCCCGGCACTGCTGCAGCCGTTCTCCATGGCCACCCACTTGCAGTGCTGCCTAGAGAACAAAGAAGAAAGTAAAGTAAATGGACTACACATGTTGTTGTTGTTATTAGCTGCAAAGTCGTGTCCGACCCATCGCAACCCCATGGACAATGTTCCTCCAGGCCTTCCTGTCCTCTACCATCTTCTGGAATCCATTTAAGCTCACTCCTGCTGCTTCAGTGACTCCATCCAGCCACCTCATTCTCTGTCGTCCCCTTCTTCTGTTGCCCTCAATCTTCCCCAGTATTAGGCTCTTCTCCAGTGAGTCCTTCCTTCTCATTAGGTGGCCAAAGTATTTAAGGACTACACAATAGATAATAGATAACATATAAACTACAACCGGGTCTCAAAGTAGTTTCAGTTCAATCTATTCTGAAGAACCCTTGCATGCAACGCATGCAGACAGTAGCATGACCAACCTATGGCCTGAGAAACTCTCCCATAAAACGTAACGCAGGAGACATGAAATTTGTCACAGAATTATACAACTGGAAAGAAATGTAAAAGGACATGTAACCCAATCCCCTTGCTCTTTGGGACATAATGAATCACCTGCTTTGAGACAAGATTTTATTGGTGCTTAGCTCATTCCATCAGAAAGATTCTCTGAATGTATCAGAGAGCTTGGCTTGCCTGCAGTTTCCACCCATTGACCCAAAGTAACAACAACAACAACAACAGAGTTGGAAGGGACCTTGGAGGTCTTCTAGTCTAGTTCCTGCTCAGGCAGGAAACCCTATACCATTTCAGACAAATGGCTGTCCAATCTCTTCTTAAAAACTTCCAGTGTTGGAGCATTCACAGCTTCTGGAGGCAGGTTGTTCCACTGATTAATTTTTCTAACTCTCAGGAAATTTCTCCTTAGGTCTAGGTCGGCTCTCTCCTTGATTATTCCCCATCCATTGCTTCTTGTCCTGCCTTCAGGTGCTTTGGAGAATAGGCTGACTCCCTCTTCTTTGTGGCAGCCCCTCAACTGATATCATGTCCCCCCCTCGTCCTTCTTTTTATTAAACCAGACATACCCAATTCCTGCAACCGTTCCTTATATGTTTTAACCTCCAGTCCCCTAATCATCTTTGTTGCTCTTCTCTGTACTCTTTCTAGAGTCTCAACATCTTTTTTACATCATGGCGACAAAACAGAATGCAGTATTCCAGGTGTGGTCTTACCAAGGCATTGTAAAGTGGTATTAATTGATCTTGATTCTATCCCTCTGTTAATGCAACCTAGGACTGTGCTGTCTTTTTTGACAGCTGCAACACACTGCTGGCTCAAATTTAAGTGATTGTCCTCTAGGATCCCAAGATCCCTCTCACAATTACTACTGTTGAGCCATGTACCACTATACTATACCTGTACATTGCAATATTGCAATACATATATCATTGGGAGTCAGTTCTGCAGCTGACTTCCAATGGTATATGTATTGCAATATAACAGTTATGTTCAAAAGTCTTAGCATTTCTTAGCCTTATACCTCGAGACACACTATGCAAACTCACACTCAAATTATCAAGGTGTTCTGCATCTTTATCAGAAACTTTATTAGGCTTTAACCCTTTGATCCCTGTTGAATCTGCATATGAATTCAATGTCTAGCATTTATATTTTGTAATGGCACCTCTTCATGCAACATAAACTGCTAGCACAGGGGATTTAATCTCAGTGGATCCCACACATGTGGATCTGATCTAGATTGGGTTTCCAGTGCTGACAATTTCCATTGCAAAATGAAATACAGTTGAAATTAATAGAATCTGTTTTAGCCACTCAAAATGAAAGTGGTCAAGGTCCGGTTCAAGTCTGGAACAGAGCAAGGGACAAAAGGTTACAACCTTTTATGCCCCATAGGAATAGGGGCATAACAACTGCTGGAACCAAATGTTCCATTGTTTACTCCTAAGCTGGATGTCGTCTGCTTAACAAATAAAGGGTTTATTTATTTATTTAATTTATTTATATGCCGCCCAATCCCAAAGGACTCAGGGCGGCATACAAAATTAAAACAATCATCGAGAATAAGACAATAAAATAATTCAATCATACCGCAAGTCCGATCATGTCCCGCCCCCCCCCGGGGACATCAGCCCCAGGCCTGCCGGAACAGGAGAGTTTTAACGGCTTTCTTAAAGGCCGGCAGGGTGGGAGTTGTTCGAACCTCGGGGGGAAGTTGATTCCACCAGGTCGGAGCCACCACAGAAAAGGCCCTTCCCCGAGGGCCCGCCAGCCGACATTGTCTGGCCCACGGGACCTGAAGGAGGCCCAATCTATGGGACCTCACCGGTCTCTGGGAACTGTGCGGCAGTATGCGGTCCTGTAAGTAACCTGGCCCTATGCCATGAAGGGCTTTAAAGGTGATAACCAACACCTTGAATTGCGTCCGGAGAGCCACAGGAAGACAGTGCAGCTCGCGGAGGATAGGTGACACGTGGCCGTACCTTGGCGTGCCCACAATCGCTCTTGCGCCTGCATTCTGAACCAACTGCAGCCTCCGAACGCTCTTCAAGGGTAGCCCCATGTAGAGCGCATTACAGTAATCCAGTCTTGAGGTGACGAGGGCATGAGTGACTGTGAGTAAAGCCTCTCGGTCCAGATAAGGCCGCAACTGGTGCACCAGGCGAACCTGGGCAAAGGTCCCCCTGGCCACAGCCGATAGATGTTGTTCCAAATTTAGCTGTGAGTCCAGGAGGACACCCAAGTTGCGTGCCTGCACTGAGGGAGGTAAATTTGCCCCCCCCCCAGGACTAATGATGGACCATCCAGTTGACCTTTGGGAGGCAAGACCCAGAGCCACTCAGTCTTGTCAAGGTTGAGTCTAAGCCTGTTCACCCCCATCCAGACCCTCACATCTTCCAGGCACCGGCACATCACATCGACTGCTTCACTGAAAGGACACGGGGTGGAGATATATAATTGGGTATCATCCGCGTACTGATGATACCTCACCCCGTGTCACCGAATGATCTCACCCAGCGGTTTCATGTAGATGTTAAAAAGGAGGGGGGACAGGACCGAGCCCTGAGGCACCCCATGATCGAGGCGCCTAGGAGTCAATCTCTGTCCGCCCGCCAGCACCGACTGCGACCTGTCAGAGAGGTAGGAGGAGAACCACCGCAATACGGTGCCGCCCACCCCCACCTCTCCGAGACGACGCAGAAGGATACCATGGTCGATGGTATCGAAAGCCGCTGAGAGGTCAAGAAGCACCAGGATAGAGGGTTGATACTTCTCTTACCTATTAATTATATTTTGGATTACTTAATTCATCTCAGCTATTCTGGGTGTAATCTGAGACGTACAGTACAAAAAATTTCTATTGTGCCTGTAAATAATGCTTTGGTGCTCCCAAGGACTACAAAGGGAATTAATTAATGAATGCGCTTCAGCAATATGGCTACTTAGGCAGACTGGTGTAAAAAAGTCAGAATAGCTAGGCTTACTCACCAGCGAGGTCATGGTGAAGCCAATGACTTCAAGGCAGCCATCATCATGGCGCTGGGGTTCAAAATCATGATGCTCTCCAGGGTTACCCCAAGGCATTGTGCCTGCACAGTACCTATGCATAGACAGGAGGGAGAAAAATGAACTGCTACAACTGAAAACACAGGGAGAGATTTGGAAAATTGGGAATGCACCTTAAAAGCAATGACTTCTTTTGTCTGGCAATCAATGTAACAGCCCACCTTGGAATGTTTAGGAAGACGAGGCATTGAAGCTTAAGATCTTGGATCTTGGGAGTCAGATCTGTTCCATCACACTGTTTTGTTTTTGTTTTTTTTAAAAAAGAGAATAAGCAGTCAGTATCAAAGGCAAGAAGCAACCAGCCAAATCCTATCCTTTCTATGGAACAGCCAATTTTTTCTTGTCTGAGACTTGGCCTGGGAATAATTTTTTTCTCCCAACATTGTCTACAATAATCAACTTCATCAGCAGACTAAACTTATTATCCAAGCCAATAACTTTGTTTCTCCAGTAAACTGAAAGAACCCATCCGTATCGTAATATACTCACCACCAGTTTGATGTGTTTTGCTAAGTCTTTAGAGCTTCCCATGAGAAAATCGGAGAATGCTGTCTACAAATAGAAGAAAAATTGAAACAGTTCACCGAGTTGCCTACCTGCTTCTCAACAGAAAGGGAAGATTGAGTAAATTTGAGTAAATTTCTAAGGGCATAATCAAGTCCCATCCCACTATCCCCACTCCCTGGCTGTATTTAATGCTGAGCTACATTGCACAATGTCTTCCACTTTCATAGTCCCTCTCAAGGTTTAAAAAAGTCTTGCCATCTTACTGAAGATAGCAAAACTACATTTAGAAAGGGAAAAGCTGCTACCACTTTCTCCTGTAAGTTGATTGCCCTTGAACATTTCTGGATATTCTTCTTTCATTATGGTGACAATCTTCACCCCTTATTTTTCGTAAGAAAATACTTCATACAAAACTTTGACTCCATACTAATGGCAACAGAATTATTCAAACTCCTTTTCCAGACAAAGCAGGAAAACTATACTTTCTCATATACACCAGACAAATTCTCTCTCTCTCTCTCTCTCTCTCTCTCTCTCTCTCTCTCTCTCTCTCTCTCTCTCTCTCTCTCTCTCTTGTGTCAGTACAGATTTTCAATGCAGATAAAGTATTTTTTTCCCCACATATATTCCAAAGGAAACCAATAGCACCTTTTCCCAACTCAGAATGCCTCCACATGTGCGAAGCGTGTGACTCCTGGTATTTCTGGCAAAATGAGATCCGAACACATCTGGAAGATGCCAACTTGGGAAAGGCTGCTGTCTATATTCTAATAAAAAACTCGGGGGGGGGGCATATCAAGAGAAAGGTAGAAAGTAGACTGGGGCAAGCATCCTGGTGAACTCACCCCAGCATAGAACATTTTATTCCGAAATCGACTGTTAAATTTCTCTGGCTTGGCCTCTGGAGAAAGAAGTTAGTTATCCATTATTACGAGTCACCGGTTCTTAAGAATCTAAGTCCCCCCCACTAACATTAGAAATAATATATATCTTTACTCCGGGAAAGGCATTAATTATTTTTCTGAGCCAATTGCTTCCAATTCCTAATCACTTTCTTTTTCTCCTCCCTCCCTGGTCTTCTAAATTAAATTACAACCTTTCTGACTTTAGCTTCTCCTTAGACAAAGTTGTAAGCATTTCTCAAGTAATCAGCCCGGCCCTCGCATAATCTGCAAAGCATAAGCTTTGACGGTTATTAGACGCATTGACATTTACCTCGAGATTCGTGGAATTCCAGTGTCACTCGAGCATCAAAACCAAGGCTGAAGTAATTGTTGAAGACATCAAGAGGGAGCTGAAATAGACAAACAGAAAACCTAGGACTGAAAGACGGAATGGGTTTTTTTTAGTTGATATACAGATATTTGTATGGAATAAACAAAGCAGTTTAGAACCGTGGATATAAACCCTTACCTTCTTTATCTATTAAAGTCTCTTCTGATATTTTATTGTATGATAGTGAAATTCTGAATACAGAAACTTCTCTATGAAAATATCATATAATACCAAATCATGTCTTCCTGAGATTCTCACAAAATTTTCAGAAAGATGCTTTAGCTGAGACTTTGATACTCTAACTCACAGTGATTCTAAACAATGAGAAGACATTCTTAGGGCCAAACTAGCTATCCCACATATACATGTTTAAGTCATGATTCAAAAGGAAAGCAGTTTTGTTTTGATAGTCCAATCTACCATCTTTCCAAGTTCCAAGGATGCATTTGGAATCTGAAACTCCAGAGAATGGGAAGTTCTTTACAAGGACAAATTGGAGCAAAGTAATGAAGAATTGGCAATAGCTTCAAGCATTTCCTCCTCTCTCACACACACATATGGTTTCTCCATTCACAATAGCAGTCAGATGAATGGGTGGAGAGTTTAAATTGGGGGGAGGGCAGGCCATTCAGTGACCCCAGCCCCTTGTCTCTCACCTCAATCGTTCAGCCCTGGATGCCAAGTACAGTGGCTGACTCTGAAATCTGGAAACGTACTCTATATCACATGGAGAGCTTTATTTCAACAAAACCATTCCTAGTATGCTGTCTTTCTGACTTTTCAATTTAGTCAGAGAGAGCGAGGGACAACCTCATTCTCTTCTTGATAAAAAAGTGCTATGATCTGTTATCCCAATCTTGAAAACCAAAGACACTTAGTTCTAGAAGCACACCAGATTGCATTGTAATGAACCGCTATACTTTTTCTGATGACAGTTTCAATTTATTATTCTTTATCTACTCTATTAATGTTTAAAGCAGCTATTCAGTGGAGATACATTATTACCTGACACTGTTTCAGAGAAAAAGATTTGGGTATCATCAGCAACTCTCTGTAAGTCGCCTAGGGTGAAATAGGCGGCATACAAACTTGATAAACAAATGAATAAATAAAAAAGTAGCTTCAAATAAAACTTCTACATGGTAAGTGTGTTATTATTTTGACTGCTTATACCTGATTTAACTAGGAAATTACAGCTAGCCTTCCTTCAGCTGAACACAGAACTAAAAATTCTATTCTTCTATTGGACTTATGACGAATTATGACAGTAAGCTACTCTATACTTAAGTATAATCATTGCTCATTAGAAGCACAAATGGCAGATTCTAGAGAATATTATCTATTTTACTGGATTTAGATTATACTTATTGACCCTTTTTCCACCCATTCTTTTCCATCTTCATTTTTAGAATTTACTTCTTCCTGTTGCCCTATTTGTAACAACAGGCTCCAATTCATTAAAGTTAGCTAGGGAGCAAGGTATATTTTCTGTGATGTCACAGAATATTTCTCATTAAATTTAACTCATATGTAATTATACTTGACCATTATGGAATAAATTATAAAGTACAACACATTGTGTGTGAGAGATAGCAGTTGATTTATCTGGATATGACATTGCTAATAACTTAGAGATGATAGGTTTGGGCTCACCTTATCTGTGGCTGTTTCATCCTTCTCTTCTGGATTTCCCTCAGGTTTGGGCTCCACTTGTAGATTCCAGCGATCAAGTTGCACAATTTCCCCTTCTTCTACATGAGACAGGATTTTTGACAACGGTTCATCGGTATATCCCTGTGGGTTGATATGTCCTCTGTGAGAACTGAGACAAGGTAATGGAAACAAATAACATCCCTTCAATCTATTTAGCTTCGTTCGCAGTGCTGACTTGGAACATAGCCAAATACTAAAGTTGTAATGAATTGGCAAATTCTTACCCCGCCCCAGTTCAGTGTTCTTGCTAGGTCATTTCCTGTCCCCAAAGGCAGAATGGCCACAGGAGGTGGAGGATTCAGGCGTAACTGGTCCAAAATTGACAGGATCCATCCCACCTACACAGCCAGGAAAGATATAACAAATTCAGACAGAATTTTTGCTGAAATTTCCTATGTCTGCTCAGTTGCTTCAACTGTTTATTGCATTTTTTATATACATCCACAGGAGCCAGCCCAAAAAGTGTAAAAATAAGAGCTACAAAAGATGGCAGGGTTTGTTAGTGGCTATGCTATTTATTCAATTAGCCCAACAACTAACCAAAATCAATTAAAAGGAATCTTTACTACAACTGTTGGTTTACAATTTAGACAGGGATAACAATTTAGATAGGACTGCAGGGCTCCAGCATATTGAAATATTATATCCTCCAGAGGTTAAAAAGTAGTAGGCCAGAAGTTAATATAAACCAATCAGTTTCAGAGACAATTCTCTTAGAAATGCCCATCTCTAATACATTGCTGAATTAGTGCTTTAGGTAAAATGGAAACAGCTCGGTATCCTTGGACAGGTTAGCCCTGAATGTATACGGTTGTATTAAGTTATTTGGGGGGAAATTCTTCTCACATAACTCAATGTAACAAACTATCTGGATACTGATCCAGGTTCTGCTACTGAGGTAGATCTACCTTATCACAGCTTATCACACAGGAAAAGGGACATAGCCACTTACTGTACCATCTCCTCCACATGCCAGAATCCGTAAGTTGTGCACTTTACGATACAACTCCAACCTGTACAAAACCCAGAGTGAGCATCACTTATATTTATCTATTGAACCTTATTCCTCCCCCCCCCAATTTTTTTTTAAAAAATGTATCTTTACAATAATTCTTCAGCTTTGTCTCCATAGCTGAAAGAAGCCGCATACCCAAGTAATAAAAAGGGAATAACAGGGAGTAAAGGTTTGTGGTTTGAACTGTGTGTATGTTCTCTTTCTGGCTGTTAGCTTAATGGAATAAGATTTCTTTTCTTCCAAGGAGCAGAAAATGGCATGGCTAGAAAATGTATTGAAGTAGTTTACTTCAGTACTGGCTTAGTACTCCATTTCAGAGCACCATCTAGAGTAGGCAAGGGGAAGCTCTAGTGCAAAATCCAGATGTAGTTTACAAAGTAGCTGCTTTTAGCCTTCAGGGACCCTGGTAAAATTCAACCTTTTTTTTTTCTTTTTTGACCAACCCTGCTCCTCTCTCCACAAAGGCATGTGCATGCAAGATACAACAGGAAACAATTGATCCTTGTCTCCTTCTGTACATAATAGATTTCTTGTCAGCAGCAATGATAAGGAATGATTTACTCTTTATCCGTTCCTTTGCAGATTGTCTTTCTCATTGAACAGAAAGTCGAGAGCAGTAATTCTATGCTTCCTCCTTTATATAAAGAGGCAGCTCTTCCTCTTTACTCGAAGGAAAAGAGAGGATTTATCTGATCCTCCTTTCTATGTAAAAAACAATACCAGGGAAATACGGGCTTGGCCAAGAAGAAGGGCTTCATGGGTCTGAATTTCCTCCTTACTCAGTGGACCAAGCCCCCTCACTGTACATCCCCAAGCTCTCTTGAAGAGATCAACTTCATTCCTACAATATTGTAGAAAATTCAGCCCCAACCCTGGGAGAATTGAAACTCTTTTAGCTTGAATTACTCCACAGGTTTGTTTATTTCTTCTTCTTCCCTTTACACCATGTTTTCCCAAAAATAAGACCGGATCTTATATTAATTTTTGCTCCAAAAGACGCATTAGGGCACGGATGTCAAACTCGATCGTGTCATGTGACGTATCGTGACATATTTTTTGCCTTTGCGGAGCTGGGTAGGCGTGGCCTGCGGGTGATGCATCTGGCCCACGGGCTGCCAGTTTGACACCCCTGCATTAGGGCTTATTTTCTAGTTAGGTCTTATTTTGGGGAAAATACGATAATAAATGCGTCTGTCCGGCTGACGACCTTAACTGTGGCTTATTTAGGGGGTAGGACTTATATTACAAGCATCCTGAAAAATCATGCTAGGGCTCATTTTCCATTTGGGTCTTATTTCTGAGAAAATACGGTAGTAGCATTTTCCTCTTTAGTGGGCACTATTCAGTAACACGGGAGATAGCATGACTGACAATGATTGAAAATCTCAATCTAAATAACTTCTAGGGGATCTCAGTTTTGTTGCATTGAGATTTATACTCAGAAGTTCAACAATGTTACCTCATCAAGTACTCTTAAGATCATTCACTTTTCTAATTCTAAAGTGCCACTCTGTCTATTTTGGAAGGCAAGATGTAAATATAAAAAAAATATTTTTCCAATAATTTGAGGTCTGTGGCAGTTGGACATGACAAATGGGCTTGGGTGAGGTTCAGGCTTTTAATTGTTACTCACGCTTCTTTGGGACCTCCCTGGCTGAGATCAAAAATTTGCCGAGGGTTGAGGTACCACATAAAAGACTGGAATATCTTTGTTCCCTAAAAGAATGGAAGAAAATAATAAAGGAAATCTGCCGAAGAAGGCTAACAGAAAGCCAATGGTATATGAGAAATAATATCAGGCAAATAATTTTACCTGATTCCCACCACTCTTGGGGTTCACAAACACAAGCAGAGGCTTCATGAGAGGTGCTGGAATGGGCTTGATAACAAAGGGTTTCCATCTTCCTTCCTAAAAAAGATGCCCTGAATTACAGAATGCCAAATGAAATCAGAGGTTTTACCCATGGGATTTACACTGCGTGCATGGTGTTATAGTCACTAAATTCCTTGCACTTTTGACAACCAAAAAAACGGAACAAATGCAAGTACTAGGTTCGACTAGGAATATGAACAATACTTGGGTTTTAGTTTTGTAGAAAAGATCTTTCTTGCCTTTTATGTCAAGGTCTATAAAAACAAGAACAAAAATCATGGAAATGATGTCGACCTAAGTTTCAATTACCGTAAAGCCAGCCAGGCATCTACATTTCATTAAAAAAAACCTGTTTTTAGCTTTTCTTTCCCCTGCTCTCTTTTGGGCTTCAATTCTCATTTGTTCTAAGCAATAAACAATCTCCATTTGGATTATCTGGAGTATAAGAGCAAAACATCTGAAATATTTTTAAAAATATTTTAAATAGTTTAAAAAATGTAACAGCTGTGCTGGATAAAATCAGTCTTATCCAGTTCAGCTTTCTATGTCTAAATTAGTCAATTAGATATTGTAGGGATGCCTATAAGCAAAACATAAGTGCAGTGATGTCCACCTGTTTTCCAGCAACCATTATTCTGGAGCTCTGTGGGGACAACATCTAGCCTTTGTAATCAATAACTATAAAAAAATCCTCATTTCTATGAAAACATTTAGTATTTTCTGGGATCAAGATGCTATTAATCAGTTTCTTTTGTTGTTTTTAGTGCATGTTTATAAGGAATGACTAATTTTTATCACTATCTGTAAGCAGGATAGTGCAGTTTTATAGCAAATTTGGAGGAAGATATTTCCTCTTTTAATATTTAGTATAATAACCAAGGGGTGATAACAGGACCCCATTATGGCTCTCAGCAGTCTCATCCCAGCAAGGCCACTGATAGAGGCTACTGGGATGATACTCCAGCAACATCTGGAGAGCTACACATTATTCACCTCTGTGATCAATGGCATTGTCCAATTTGCTTCAGTTCTGCTGGACTGTTTTTCCTTAGTCTTTAGGAAAAGTTACTAGTCTGCAAATATTTTATTAGGGTCTGGCTGGGAGAAGACAGAAGGCAATTCTTTTCACTGAGTGCAGAGGAGGAGGCATTCTTTTTCAATCAAGCTACTCACTTGCTTAGAGGGCTTCCAGATAGCCTCCTACATGGACTCATGGCCCAGGAATACCAAAGAAGCAATTTTGTAAATTAAAACGAATGTAACACTTCAGTATTAAAAAGTGCATTTTTCCCATTTTGGTCTAGCAAATTATTGCTCAAAAGCGCAAAAAAGCATTAGCCAATTTCCTAGAATTTTTTCCCCCTATTGCTCTTTTACGACGGCCTGATCTTCATTTTGTTCTTTATATTCTTTCAAGTTCTCAGTCCTAATCTCTGACCTCAGGCCCCTTCTTGCTGGATTTTCGTTTGAAGGAAGTTCTTTTCTTCTTCTTACTTGACTTCAGAGGGTTCTAGAGAAAGAAGGTGGGGGGGGGGGAACAGAAAGAACAAACCATGTAAATCAGGAGGCATTGAAAGTACCTCCTCCACATTTCAGAAGTGTTAGGACTGCAATTCCCTGAATTTTGTTGGGAACTTTGAGTGTTGTTCTTAATACATATGAAAGGGCCTGGGCGGGCCTAAGTAACGATAAAGGGATTTAGGGGAGAAATTTACATAGGGATGAAGAAAACCTAAAATTGCAACATACTTGGGGATGACGGACACGCAAAATCCAGGTGGGAGGGATGACAACAGCAGCATGTGCCCCCAATGAACAGGGCTCTTCAATGTGCTGCAGCATGAAGCATGAAACTTTACTGTGGTACTGAAAAGAAGCAAAAGAACAGAACAGATTAAGAACAACCGCTGCCTCTGTGAGCCTGTTTCTAATATTGGGCTGGTGTACTCCTGTAAGCAGAAAGGTTTGGAAATCAGATTTAAGTGCTAGGCTTCTCATCCTAAACTTGGAATTAATCTCCTGGGACTTCATGGCTTAGCACAAATCCAGGGCCTAACTTGGATGAAAACTCTCAGGCGTGGTTCAATTAGATTAGCGTATTTAGAACAGACAGTAATAAAGCTGTAATACAACAGTTTATTATCTGTTGCTATGCAAAGACATGAAAAAAGACTTCGGGAATTTTTGCTTGAAATTTCTTCCTCCTGCCCTCCTGAATAACCAGAAGCTTGGCTCAGTGCTTAGCGGCCTTGAAGTTGTTGAAAGTTGTTATACATTTGGCTGGTCTGAGAACTAATGGTTCCTGTTTTGTCTGCCTGGACCTTTACAGGAAGACTGCTGAGATGGTGGGAAAGAGGGTACTATTTCAGGATGCTAGGCAGTTTCTTTTATATTTTACATTTCTAAATACACTCCTATGTCAGAATATTAATATAAAAGAGAGCAATTAGCTCTGCATCTATCTATCTATCTATCTATCTATCTATCTATCTATCTATCTATCTATCTATCTATCTATCTATCTATCTATCTCCACAAAAAAAGTCTTGTCTTTTTCAAAAAAAGTGTCTTGCAATTCTACATTCAGATATTTCCCACTAGCAGACAAGCCAACAATACTCTTGGGAAATATATAAGAAAGTAAAAAGTGAGTGACTAGTTTCTGACCTCAGATACTACAGTTAGTTCTCGCTTACCAACTATAGTACCTCATTTAATAACTGTTCAAAGTTACAATGATTGAAAAAAAAAACATTTTGTGACCAATCTTCGCATCTAGAAACATTACAACCTCCTGTGCTCACGTAATCGCTATTTGTGTGCTTCACAACCAGCTTTCAAGAAGCAAATTTAAAAGCGAACATAGAAGTGAAATCAATACATTGCCGTCCTACAATGTCCCAATTAATGACTGGGGTGATTTGCTTAATCATGGAAGCAGAAGTGAGTTTTTATGTCTTGTACAGTCACATGATTTTTCACTTAGCAACCGTGGTGCTTAGCGACAGAGCAGCTGGTCCCAGGTATCATTGGTAAGCAAGAATGACCTGTGTTTTAATTTCCCATTTCCCCCATTCTGAACAGATGTCTTCTCAACATTGTTTTTTTTTTCTTTCATTTTTCTCCTTGAAGGAGAAGAACTGCATTCAAGAACTTACCATGATAAAAGCATATACTTTTACATATACAAGTAAAATCATGGTGCACACACTAATAAAAATTTTCAATAAATAGCACATCGTGTTTTGGGGCAAATGGAGGCAGAGAAAAGGAGAATAATATTTTGGCAAACAAATGCATGCTGCACTCACTGCCTGCTTACACCAGGAACAGCTGATGGCTATAATTTCCTTGCTGTGGAAGGCAAATTTCTGCTGGAAACCCTGGACAGACAAAGAAAGAAAAATAACATTATTCACGTTTCCTTTTTCATTGTACATTACAGTGAAAAGTATAACGTATAATAATATTTTTGTATGTTGCAACAGATGTACATTAACAAATTTAGTGGACAAATGTCTTTCAATCACATGTTTCTGAAACTTCGTGAAGGTTAACTTCTGGCAACCCAATGAATCACCAATGAATTAGCGTTGCGATCCAGGGGAGATGCAGTTAAACAGTATATGGAAAAAAACTGATCTAAGTCAAAAAGATAATAGTTCAGAAAATCACATTGTATATAGTATCTTATTATTTTTTACTTGGTAGAATAAAGACTATTATGCAAAGATGCAAGTCCAATATAGTTTCTCACCAACTCCACACTAGCTTAGCTTCTTTAAAAAAAAAAAAACCCTCTCCTTTTCTCTTTCTCTATATAATTTGATAAGATCTTGATACACACATGCACTGTGTTTCTCACCTTTCCACATTGTCGACATTTCCCTTCCTGGCGTCTCCGGTGTACCCAATGATGCCGCACAATAGTAGGCTACAAAGAAAAAGGAGAGTTCAGGAAAAAAGAAACAAAAGAACAGGAAGGAATTGAACAGCTTTCAGTGCTGCTAAACATTCTGGTAAGGGCTGGCAAATACAGACCGGCATTAGATACCATTCACAGTTTGTTCTTGTTGGGAGGTAGGGGAAATGTTGCGTAAGTGACCTTAGGAATTAATTCAGGAAGATTCCTTTTGTTCTTCATCCAAGTTTAAAGGCAAACACAGCCTTTCCTATCAAGAATAGATGCTCCTCGTTTTTTTTTTTTTTTCTATCTTGCACTTCCAAGATGGTTACTTATACTACGCAGGCAGCACAAAATGCTGGTCACATTTCCCCAGATGGAATGTAGTCCTATTTATCTTCAAGAAGCAAGGTACAATATGGTTTTCTGCAAGCTTTAAACAGCAGCCACCAAATATAGAACCATGCATTCTGTCAATATTGTTGATGAAACACTTATACAGCTTGAGAATTAAAACCCTGGAATAAGTTTAAAAATCAGAGTTAATGTAGATCAGTGTTTCCCAAACTTGACAATTTTAAGCGTTGCTGGCTGTGGAATTCTGGGAGTTGAAGTCCTCATGCCTTAAAATTGTCAAGTTTGGGAAACATTGATGTAGATGAATAAAAGCTATCTAATGACTGGAAAAATTCAACTGTTTTTGTGTCAAAGTTGGACTTATTTCAGAGTCACTATTCTTATGAAGATTATACAGTTTATACTAGCAGAATATCACTTATAAGATTAATGAAATATTAGATTTATAAAGTAGTTCATTAATACTGCTTCAGTGTATGAATACCATAAGTAATAGTTCTAAAAATGAACAAATGTAATGACTAACCAGATAGCATGCATTTATTCATTTATTCCTATAGCTGGTATCTTATTATTTTGTTTAAAAAAATCGATCTATGACCATTACATATGCAATTTTTGGACCAGAGAGACTGCTTAGCACAAAATGTATTTCTTCTCATTATCTGAATATACAGATTCTCAAAGATAAGAAGGAATGCATTATAGTATCCTTTCGATGCCACAAACATATTCATATTTTATGTTCATGGAAAAGTACAGCTTCAGACTTGGTTACAAATTCTCTGCTTCAAATTTAGGCCAAATATTTTAAACGCATTGGGATGAAGCTGCATATTTTAAAAAATCCCCCACTTTCAACAATGCTGCAAAATCCTAACTAGTTAATGCAGTTCTTACCTCCCGGATATTCCTTGATCCAGATTCTCTAAAGGAAGGCTTGCATCGGAAATTAATCTGAGGATTTAACAGAAGGAGGATTTAATCCTATGAATAACAGTCTATTTTGATTTTTTTTTCCCCTGTGATTCCCTCCCTCTAAATAATTTCAGTGAAAAAGTTAGTAGAAGAATATATGAAACTACAGTATATGCAACTTGAATTTGTATAGCTCAGAATACTCTTCTCTAAATAGCACTAATACAAGGTACCTCCCAGTTCTCCAATCAGGATTACTGGTATTTGACTGGTAATATCTAGATTTAAATAAATTTAGATTTAACTGAATCTAGGCCCTTCAGAAGACAAAACTAGAATCAAAGAATTAAAAACAAAAGAGTTTACACCTTGTGAATTTATCCAAATAAGTATTTTTCAGATTTTGGTTGGGGGGAAGATGGAATCAAATACAGCAGAGCATTTTTCATGGTGATCTACTCACTTTTTCTAATTGTTCTATGCAGGGTGTGTGGACTACAATTTTGCAGGCTGCACATTTGCGCTTGGACATAGGTTTTTGCTGCAACAAAGGAAACATAATATTTATACCATCAACCCCCCGTGTCTGAGAAGATTGCAAATTATCCAGAAAAATGGTTCGACGGAATAAATACCAAAATATACAAAAACCTTGCAGATCAAAGCTATTTTTTTTTTTTAGTTTTCATGTTTCCATCCCTGTGTAAAGGCCAGGCAAGGAAGGCAGTGACTTGAGATATGGAGGGCAATGGCTTCCCCATTTCTTGATCATAATAAATCAAATAGAATTCAGGAAGAGGCAATCAAATCTGAATTAGATTGTAATCCCCCAATCAGAAACTTAATAAAGAGGTGTCTTGAAATATATTTTTATATATCTGTGCTATGAGATGTCCAAAGATGTGTTTTAAGATAAGTGGCCATAAAAGTCTTTTTGATAAATACATACATTCATAATTCTATTAACTTGGATATAAACACATATGTCACTTTTCAAGCATCACAGAATAAATGAATAAATTGCAAACTAATTAAAACATTACATGCATCAAATGAAGACTGTCAATCCAACATCAAACTTCTAACTACTTTTTCTCATGTTTTTCTTTATTAGGAAAACTTTCTTTTCAAAAATTACAAAATGCATAGTACATATTTATTTTGCTTTGTCTATAAATATGAATACAATATGTAAAATAAATTATTTGACTGAGAAAGATTAAGATCAAGACTGTGCAATAGTATGGGATTGTAAAAATTTGCTTCTGCTTTTAAAGAAAAGAGAGAGAAAAAGAGAGAGAGAAAAAAATGTCATAAAATATTCAGCAGAAAGCACAGTGAGATTTTGGGAGGGAAATAAACACTCTGAATTATCAACATATAGAATTATCAACAACATCAACAATTATTAACAATATAGAATTATCAACAATTTTACACTCATTCAGCAAATGTTGGATGCCACAAACAAAATTTTAGTTTGGACCTCATTCCTAATAATGGACAGACTGTTGTTTTGAAGCAGCTGTGACAACTGATGTAATTAGGCAGATAATGCAAAGTAGATCAATTGTCTAAATTCATATTTAATGGACATTTGTCTACAACAGACACTATTTCTTGCAAATGATTTGTAAAATTGAGGTTTTACTGTACACATTTATATTGATTCAGACAGGTGGACTGGTATATTAGCTCATCTAATCTCTAATGGACAGCAATTCCACCTTTAATCTTATTTATTTATTTAAGCTTGTTATAACCACCCAACTGCAATAGACTCTGGAGAGCATACAACCCCCCCCCAAATCTATAAAAACAGATAAAACATAACAAAACAGCCCAGACTAATATCATCTTACAAACAATAGAAATCAAACATAACAGGCTCCAGAAAATACAATAACACATTAACTCCAGGCTGGGACCTAAGCCAGGTTTTAAGAGCTTTCTGTGATCCTAGGAGAGGGGGTGCTGTCTTTCCTAGAGGACACACACACACACACATCTCCCCTATATAAGGAATTACTTTATAGTGGTGTAGGCTTTTTGTTGTTATTTGGAGCTACACATCGTTATTACAATCATCATCATTAAAAAAACAAGTTTTTTTTCAAGGGCTACAGGAATTTGACTTGTCACTAGACAAGGCAGATCTGAAATTACTGGTTTACTGTGAAGGAGAGCTGAGGATATACTTGAGATAAATTCAGATCAGTTCAGATGCTATTCTGGATTGTTTTTGGCATTGCCCAGATGTGAATATTATAATAATGATGATGATGATGATGTTGGAAGGGACTGTGGAGGTTATCGCGTCCAACCCCCTGTTCAGGCAGGAAACCCTATACCATTTTGGACAAATGGCTGTCCAGTCTCTTCTTAAAAACTTCCAGTGTTGGAGCATTCACCGCTTCTGGAGGCAGGTTGTTCCACTGGTTAATTGTTCTGTCAGGAAGTTTCTCCTTAGTGTTAGGTTGTTTCTCTCCTTGATTAGTTTCCATCCGTTGCTTCTTGTCCTGCCTTCAGGCGCTTTGGAGAATAGCTTGACTCCCTCTCTTTGTGGCAGCCCCTGAGATATTGGAACACTGCTATCATGTCCCCCTTCGTCCTTCTCTTCGTTAAACTAGACATACCCAATTCCAGCAACCAGTCCTTATATATTTTAGGAATAGAATAGAATAGAATAGAATAGAACAGAACAGAAATTGGAAAGGACCTTGGAGATCTTATAGTCCAGCCCCCTGCTCAAGCAGGAGAACTATACCATTTCAGACAAGTGATTGTCTAGTCTCTTCTTAAAAATCTCCAGTGATGGAGCACCCATGATTTCTGAAGGCAAACTGTTCCACTGGTTAATTGTCTTTAGACTCCTCATTGTTAGGAAATTTCTCCTTAATTCCAGGCTGCTTCTCCCTTTGGTCAGTTTCCAACCATTGTTTCTTATCCTGCCATCTGGTGCTTTGGAGAATAATCTGACTCCCTCTTCTTTGTGGCAGCCCCTCAAATACTGGAATACTGCTATCATGTCACCTGTTTCTTCTTTTCTTTAGACTAGCCAAACCCAAGTCCTGCAGCCATTCTTCATATGCTTTAGTCTCCAGGCTTTCGATCATTTTAGTTGCTTTTCTCTGAACTTTTTCCAAAGTCTCAACATCTTTTTTGTAGTATGGTGACCAAAATTGGTTGCAGTATTCCAGGTGTGATCTCACTAGGCTTTTATAAAGCGGTACTAATACTTCTTGATTCTATGCCTGTTTATATTACCCAGGATTGTATTAGCTTTTTTGACTGCTGCTGCTGCACACTGCTGGCTCATAATTCACCCTCTTCTAGCTCCTAGCAAGCATACTCATGTTCCATCTCCCTGATGATATTCTGAAAAAGGCCACTGGTGCATCTGTGACTCTGTGATCTTGGATCTTGGCTTGGCCTGCCTATGCTGGTTTTTGCATTCACTAAGCCTATACAACATTCTTGTTTTGAGAGTTATCTTGTTAAAATAAAGGGAAAAAATGGCTAATAATATAATTAGGCTGTCAATTTGAAGGGAGGGAAGAGTGCTACTTTATGGGTAGGACAACATTCCTCATGGATCCATAATTAGACAATAATTTAGCAGATTCTGATAAAATTCTCTCCATGCCCATTTCCTACTGAGGCAGAATTCCTCTTCCCTTGAGAGTTTTTGTGAAACGTCCTATGCAACTAAGACTGTTCAAAATAATATAAGTTCACGGCTCATATAGAAAAAGGAAATTAAAACTGAAGATTTTATCAAAACTGTTCTGCCTGAGGCTTTTATAAACAAGTATTAATACTAGCATCACTTAAGAATCATTTCCCGTTTGGAGCAAGACGTCTGCAATATGCTGACAATTCTCAGTTCTAGGTCTCCTTTCCTACTTGTTATAAAGACTGCAAAAATAGGCTGCAGCAAAGTTCAGAAAAGATAGTTCATTCCGTGGATTTATTTCAACCTTCAGGAGGATGCATGCTTCCTTAAGAAGCAGGCTTGCAAAATGAAAGTCTTATTGGTTCCAGCACTGATCCTGAATGGCTGCATATCAGCCGGATGCATCTTACTTTACATGCCTGAAGTCCAAGCTATCTACAGAAACAAATATTTCTGTACAGACTTCTGTGCACTTTGCCACCCATTTGGCAAGTCCTGCCATAAGAACAGTAACACCAGTAAGGAATTTGGCTTTTTTCTGGATGGGGCTCGGCCTGTAGAACAGAGCGCTACTAGAGCTGAAGGAGGCCCCTCTTTGCTTCACTTAGGGAGCAGCTTAAAATTACTTATTCATCCAAAGTGTTTAAGAGTACTATTATAATTTTGGAATTTTTATTCATATGATATTTTAATAACTGTTAAAATAATATTTTGTTGAATTGTTGCAAACCTTTCTAAGTCATAAGAGAGGTGTACAACATATAAAGCATAAATCAATTCAGTAAAATGAGCGTATTTCCTTTTTTCATGCCTCAGTCTGATTACACCAAACAATTTCTATGCTGTTTTAATAATTTCCATGTGTCTGATTTCTCCGCTAGGTGGTGATACAGTCTCACATACTCTTGAAGTTTACCAGATAGTGGCTATTTCTTATAAAACTTACCAGCATTTTTGACACACAGTTTTGTTCCCCGACATAGCAGAAGTCCCCAGAGACATTGGTTTCAAACCAGATGTGCTCCCCATAAACTGCAGTCTCCTGAAAGACAAGAGGCAATTTAGAACTCCAGGCAAAATTACTCTTAGTTTAAAACCTGACCAGTTTTCCATCATTGTCTACTCTGGTTCAAGGACTTACTTATTTCTTAATTCAGCCTAATAATAATGATGATGATGATGATGATAAAGTTGGAAGGGACCTTGGAGGTCATCGAGTCCAACCCCCTGCTCAGGCAGGAAACCCTATACCATTTTGGACAAATGGCTGTCCAATCTCTTCTTAAAAACTTCCAGTGTTGGAGCACTTCTGGAGGCAGGTTGTTTCATTGGTTAATTGTTCTAACTGTCAGGAAGTTTCTCCTTAGTTCTAGGTTGCTTCTCTCCTTGATTAGTTTCCATCCGTTGCTTCTTGTCCTGCCTTCAGGCGCTTTGGAGAATAGCTTGACTCCCTCTTCTTTGTAGCAGCCCCTGAGATATTGGAACACTGCTATCATGTCCCCCCTCGTCCTTCTCTTTGTTAAACTAGACATACCCAATTCCAGCAACCATTCCTCATATATTTTAGCATCCAGTCCCCTAATAATCTTTGTTGCTCTTCTCTGTACTTTTTCTAGAGTCTCAGCATCTTTTTTACATCATGGTGACCAAAACTGGATGCAGTATTCCAAGTGTGGCCTTACCAAGGCATTGTAAAGTGGTATTAATGAACTGGGAAGGGGCACATTATCTTAGTCATACCAGGGATGCATCCATCTAGTGACACGTTATTGCAGCAGAGAAATGGGAATACACATGAACCACATGATAGGACACCATCATGCTTCAACATCTCTATGTTGCCTTTCATCAGGAGTCCTGGTGGCACAGTGGTTAGAATGCAGTATTGCAGTGTAACTCTGCCCACAGTCTGAAGTTTGATCCTGACAGGCTCAAGTTGACTTAGCCTTCCACCTTCTGAGGTCAGTAAAATAAGGACCCAGATTGTTGGGGGCCATATGCTGACTCTGTAAACCGCTTAGACAGGACTGTAAAGCACGATGAAATGGTATATAAGTCTAAGTGTTATTGCTATCTCAAGCAATCTGATTGTGAAGCACTCTGTGGTCAAAGATACTCTCTGCTTCTACCCTTAAAGGCCAACCATTTGTGAACTTGATAGTTGCAGCCAAGCTAATGAAAGAGAAACAACCCATTCTTCTGTTCTTTCAACCAAGACAGGAACTTACACTCCAATCAACAGAGTTACGAATCTCCCTCTCTGAGTCACTTCTTAAGGCAAATGTGGGGTTTGGCTGGGCTACCATGTGCTGGAGACCCGACTTGGCAATGGCTTTTCTGAAAGACAAGAACAAGAGTGGCTGTAAGGGCATTTTGTTCACACACAACAGACCACATGCATTATATCTAAAATCTTGCTGCTAAATAAAGGCAACTAGTAGTAGTAGTAGTAGTAGTAGTAGTAGTAGAAGAAGAAGAAGAGGAGGAGGAGGAGGGGGAAGAAGAAGAAGAAGAAGAAGAAGAAGAAGAAGAAGAAGAAGAAGAAGAAGAAGAAGAAGAAGAAGAAGAAGAAGAAATAGTGTTCCACAGTCATGTATATCCAACCTGTTTAATTCAGCCACCATACTTTGCCACTGATTCAAAAGGCAGTATTTGGGGGAACAGAGAGCCCGCCCCTTCCTCTAATAAATGCCTAGCATTTGATGAACTTTTGTGTCAGGAGAATATCAGTGAGGCTTTATTAGCCCCATTCAAGCAGCTATTGGCTTCATTGGGTGCTACAACAGACTAGTACTAAAAAGGTTTCCTTGGGTGTTGCAGCCCACCCATACAAGAAAGGCTGGTTCTGTGGGTGCTAGGATCATCCATGGCTGGAGAACGTTGCTTTATCAGCCCCTTTTCCTTGAATGATTGACTAGGCAGGGTTTAAAAACTATTCCACATTTGTCTTACAGTATTTTCACAAGAAGGGGTTATTTGGGGTTAAAGCTAATTCTATTTCTCAATTGCTGACTGAGCTATGGGGTTTGCACCATACGCTTATTTTGCCCTTAATTAACTATAATAAGTGTGTTCTGTAAGCCCAACTCCCGGAAAAAATTACTCCAGAGATAGAGCATCATTTTTCTCAAAAGGCAATTACTCAGGCTATAAGAGTCCAATTTCTTGTTGTTTCTCAAGCACAAATATTTAAAGTTGATGGGGGAGGGGGAGATGAACATAGTTGAAAAGCTAAAAACAATAGTTAAGATTGTGTGTGACTTTTAATTTCTAGTTTGATTTTTTTTTCCTAACCTTGTAGTTTCCAGATGTCTAGACTATAAAATCCCAGCTAGCAGTCAATACATATGTAATTCTGGGAGTTGCAGTCCCACAACACCAGAAAATATTTACCAGAACAAGAAAATACTGTTTAAAGCAAGGATAGAGGCAGCTAGTAAAATGCTAGTCTCAGGAATGTCAGATTCAGATTCTTGTTTTATTGTGATTGGGCAGTTTAGTTTCTCATTAACGCATTCAGCTCAAACTCTTTGGAAAGAGAATCCAGCCTCCAAAATTAATGAATCTGAATGAGCATTCCTGCTGCCATAGTTTCTCCTCCCTACTCATTACCTCCCCTCCGCCCGGATCACCTCCAGCCAAATGATTTTAAAACCACCTATAAGCCATACATACGTCAAAAGGGCATTGCAGCCTCCAGAGGAGTCACTGCCACAGCTGCTGAGGGCAGGATCCACTCCCAAGCATTTATGGGTACTCAGTGGCAGCCAACTGGTTCCGACAGGCACCTTCCACCTCCTGGCAGCCCTTTCAAACCTGCATGGCTGAAGCAAAGCACTTGGCTTGGGGGTTTCACCTGAGCACCGCCGCTGGTTGAAGTATCTGTAGCGGCCTTGAAGCCCGTAGACTGCTCTGCTGTGCACAAATTCTGCAGGAAGGAGGTGGGAGGATCTGCGGCGCAGGTAATAAGGGTCTCGTAGGAAAGGTCTTAAATCAGGAAGGCGTTGGATTGGGGGAATGGTATATAGTGAGCACTCAGTCTGCAGTTCCTTCTTTTCGAACTCTGCTCCTTCAGATCCCGAGGAGAGCGCTTCCTCACTCCAGTCACTGTCCACCATCCCATCTTTAGGGGACCCTGAGCTGGAGCTTTCAGTACAATGTGACTGTCTCCTTTCTTCTTCCTTGTACACTTGGATGAGACTGGCTAGCAGCAAAGAGGGCCCTATGAGATGTGTGTCTATGGTGTGCACATGGCCCCCACGCTTCTTCTGGACAGAAAATCTAGGGCTCATGCGAGGGGTGGTGGTACTAGATCGCCTCCGGGAACACAACCTACGTTTGCTTGGGAAGCCCAAGCAAGACATCTCTTGCAGCTGAGCACTGGATCTGCGCCGGCGTTCCACAAGTATGGTAGAGGGCTGACCTACCACAGAACGCCGCCTGGCTCTGCTGGCAGGCAAGGCCACCACACTGGTGCGTTGGGGCCCTGATGATGCAATCTTCCTCCTGAAGTGCTTTTTGAAAAAGGATTCCATGGAGATTAGGGGCTGTTAACAGAAAAGTATATGTTTTAAATGTGGGGCTCCCTCTTCCCATCTAACTACCTAAAGTACTCCTGCATGTCTAATAATAGATACTTCCAGACCTTCCGCTCCAGCTCCTCAATTGTTACAAGCACTCACCAACTTTTTAAAGCCATATACAGCTCTGTGTCAAAGAGCCAGCCACCTGGAGTTCTAAAACTCTCTGAACTGTGTAATACCAAGACATTGAGGCAACTGAACCATCCAGTTCATCATAAACACTAAGGATGAAAGAAGCTATTACCGAAAGAGCTCGGAGAAAAGGAAGCTTGGTGGATACTTAAAATGAGAGAACTGTTCCACGTATGCTAATAACGTTCAGATCATCTACATGTGGTTTTTTAGAAGTTAGTGTTCAGATAAGCAGAGGTTGAGATGTCAATAATTCTCATAGTGAACAGATATGCTCATGTACCACAAATCTGCTTGTCCACTTTACACATAGAAAGTAAAACAGATCCATGTAAAGTACAATCCTCTGACCTTGCGTATAAACATACAACGAAAGCACCTGACCCATCACAAGACCCTCACTTGAAGCCCTTATAAACAGAACACTGACATCCGCTAAACTCCACTGAAGATGTTACCTAGTCTGGTAACAAAACATTCAGAAACCAACCCACAAGCTTGGAGAACGAATCGTCACCCTCACTCTTAGACCCCACCTGTTAATTGGCAGAGCAATACTCTTCTGGAAGGCCAGGAGAGTGGAGACTTACCTCACTATTGGGAGTAAAATGATCCAGAGGGAAGGAGCAATGGCAGAGAGGCTGTTTTCCTAGATCCTGTCAATCAAACTGATTGACTGAGTGTCTATGGAGATTCTCAGTCATCCAGGTCATGGTTGTCCCAAAGGTGCTTTTTCAAGAAGCAACTGGACTTTCTTGTTTTTCTTTGAAGATGTTTTACTTCTCATCCAAGAGCTAAAGAAGTCCAGTTGCCTCTTGAAAAAGCACCTTTGGGACGATCTGATTGGGTGGGATGGGTCAACATAATTAGGATGAGCTGGTTCTTCAGGTAACCTGGTCCCATGCCACGAAGGGCTTTAAAGGTGATAACCAGCATTTTGAATTAGACCCAGAAGCAAATTGACACCCACTGCATTTGTGTAGGTTTTTTTTAAAATTTCCCTTCTCTTTTTTATTTTTTAATTGTTTAGGCAAAATGGAGAGAAATGTATCAGCTGAATCAGCTTTATGCCTTTTAACTGTACAAGAAAACCTAAATGTTTCCTCTTTAATGAAAAATAAAGCTCATTTTACAATGTTGGTATAACTAAAGTGAGCTGAGACAAACTGGAAACGCGGCCAAGCTGTAGTATGAGAAATCCAAGAGGCAACAGCCAAGATCCCTTGACAGTAAGGAAAGGAATAACAAGAATTCCAAACATTCAGACATATTCAATTTTATAAATAGCAATTCCACAACGTATTAGAACATCACATTGTGGTCAAAATGGATGATTGTATCAACAGTTCCTTCAGATTTCATGCCTTTCTAAGTTTTGAAAAATAATATAAGTAGCAATTGGAGAATTTTCCATGTGTATACGTTTCTGTCTTCAGAGGAATGCCAGTATGGAAAAGGCAATTACTTTTCCATACTCCATACTTTATATTCCAAGTCTAAAAAGTAGTTTATCCACATTTTATGCTCATTAAAACTGTCAGTTACACACTCTGAACTGAAAAATGTGGAGTATTTTACAATAACTGAAGCTGACACATTCTATAACATTTTGTAGAAAAGCAATGGAAAGATCTTATTATCCTTTGTTATTTGTACAATAGTTACAGTATATAGAAAATGCTCTTCTACCTGCAGCTATTTTAATGGTAGCACAATTCCTATTTCTGCTGTTCTCTGGTGCAAATCTAGGTATGTTTACCAGTAGTCTTTATTTAGTGACTGCCTTATTTAGTGACCTTTCAGTTATGATGGTGGTGATAGAGCCAATGGCATTCCATTCAGTTCTAACTTTGGGACCAGTCCTCACATTTATGACCCTCACTGGTCTTAAAGCAAAAGAAATAAGATCATAAGCATAGCTGTGCTTTCATTAATGATGGATTCACTTAATGAGCAAGTTACCAGTACCATTTGTAGTTGCTCAACAACATGGATTATCTAGTGTTTGGAAATTTAGAACCACTGCAATTGGGAGGACTTGTTCTCCAGCAGGATGACTGTAGAGTCCAAATGGATGGGTTCTATGACGGCCTTCCTGCCTGGCAGACTGGGTAAAAACTTCGGCCACACCCCTTCCTTTGGGCGTGACCCCAGTTTTGACTCAGTCTCGAAGCCTGGTACAAGTGCGAGAGGCAGCTCTCAGAAACAAACGAATTTAAACTCAAAAAAAAAAAAAAAAAAGGAATCCCCTCTTCTTCCCTTGACAAGAGAAACTTCCCGGCAGCGATTAGAACAGGATCGGCGGACTCGTGAGTGGGGCTAGCCGGGGAGGCTCGGAACGGGCCGGATCGCTCGCTTTCTTCCGGCCCGCCGAGCAGCTGTTCGGCGCGGGGGGGGTTTTCACCGGGTTGCGCGTAGCCCTCCGGGCCCTCCCAACAGCTGAGCAGCCTGGCCGAGGGAGCTGAGCGCCACGGCGCGAAACAGCTGAGCCGCGCGGGAAGCGGCAAACCAGGTCGCCGCTCGGCTGCGATCAGCTGAGCGGCGCGATAAACAGCGCGGCAAGAGCAAAGCCGGCGCTGAATTCCCCTATACCCAGAGGAAAGGCGCAGCCCCTCATGACTAGAGGAGTCTTCCTGATTGCAAAAATCAGGATCCGCCATTACTCTTGAACCTCGTGGATTCCCGGGCTTCCATTGGGAGGCGTGGCTTCTTCCCCATTCACCATTTTGGAACTTGATCTTCCCGCCGTTTCCCCTTGGGGGCGGGGCCTTCACCCGGACTCCATTTTCCGGCAAACAAAGGGCTTTTTCCCCTTGCAAGGATCTGAGGTTACCCAAGGAAACTGAGACAGAGGAAGGAAGAGGGAAAGTAAAATAACCGTTTCCTATCGTGGTCTGTTGCCACAGCCACAGACTGGGGGAGAGAGAGAGACATATGAACTGCACCTTGTCTGGACTAGGTGAGGAGGTGAGGAGGAACATTCTTCCCTAACTGTTCCCATAGTGGCCTTTAGTCACTGCCTTGCAGGATCTTCGGTCCAAAGAATCCTGTCTGTCCGGCCATTGTTTGTATAGGCAGAGGAGGGCACAGTCCCAAGCATCTGCCTCTGATCTGCGTACCTCATTCCCCCATCCCAGGCATTTCCTACTCGGGGTGTCTGGCACAATGGCAGACAATGTCTCGTATTCAGTCACACAGGTCCCTCAATTGTCCCCCCCACAGCAGCAGCGAAAACGCAGATCCTCTGAATCAGAGGTGGGGGGGAAGAAGAAAGCTAAAACAAAGCACCTTACTCAGAAGGGACAGTCTAAAACGGCTGAGCGAGAGGCTCTGAGGAGACATTTGGCTTTAGAAAGACAAATTAGCAGGGCACAGAGATCCAATGCCAATGGGACAAATTTGGTTTCCCCTGTCCCAGTGGCGACCAGCACAGAACCTACTGCCGAGGAAGTGCTCAAGACTTGGTCTCCTCCTGGGGAAACTGAACAGTTAGATTCCTCCAATCCCTCCTCACCAGCTTCTTCTCCCTCACCCGACCACACTCCAGCGCCTCACCCCAGCGACAAAGCGCAGGAGAACATATGGTCGGCACGATTTCAGGCATTCATGCAGGATGCATTCTCCCAATTCATGGCCTCCAAAGGGCAAGTGGCCTTTCACACACCCCGTAAGGGACGAGCTAGGCCACCCCCTACCAACATCTCTGAATCTTCCTCTCAACTAGGAGAGGGTGACTCAGTAGATCTTGACATGTCAGACATGCCCCTATCGGAGGACGAGGAAACCGCACCTGAGCAGGAGACGAGCTCTGGCCTCTTTAACCCAGCGCTCCTAAAATCACTCCTGATTAAGGCAGTTTCCACAGTCAGCCTAACATCAGTACAGGATGAGAGGCCATCGACTAGCAAGGAGGCCAACCCTCTGTTTGCCAAAAAGGTCCCACAGGACAAGTACATTCCATGTGCGGAGGTCTTCATGACCACGCTGGAGGAACAATGGTCCTCACTTGCAAGCCCACCGGCTCCTAACAGCGCGGAAAGAAAGCTTTTCAACCTATCTCCCTCCTTCTCTAACATGTTAGAGGTTCCCACTGTAGATAACCCCTTGATCTCATTATTCTCTACCTCCGCGATTCCAGGAGACATGGCGGAGGTCTTGAAACCTGAGGAGAAGAAATTTGAACACTCCTTCCGGCGTTCCCACATGGCTGCAGCCTGGGCGGCCAGAGCAGCCACCTCATCATCATTCTTCGCGAGGGCCTGCATCATGTGGCTGAGGGAACTGCAGGGCACGGTGCCTCCAGACCAGGTCAGAGTACACCAGACATTGGCCAAACTCCTCGCGGCCTCTCAGTTCATGTCTGACGCTTCACTGTACGCAACAAAGTATGCGGCAAGATCCATTGCGGCCACAGTGGCCTCGCGTAGGCTACTGTGGCTCAAAAACTGGAAGACAGACCTGAGGTCCAAATGGCGTCTCTCGACGTCCAAATACAGTGGAGAGGCCCTATTTGGTTCCATTCTGGATCCACATGTCAGCGAAGGCAGAGACAAGAAAAAAATCCTAGTACATCCATCAAAGAAGTTAGACAGGAGAGGCAGTCAGGACTTCCGGAGGCAGGGCTCCCGCCCAGGAAGCCCCTGGGAATGGAGGCAGCCCTTTCGATCAGGGCAATCCTGGGACTGGCCCAGAGGCTCACGATCCTTCTACCCGAGACAGGATCGAACCCAGGATCGCCAAAGCCCGGGAGCCAGGGGCCAGTTCCAGTCCAGACGCCCATATAGAGGAGCGGGAGGCAGATCCTTTAAGCGTACCAAGTGACGCCAAACAGG